GAGTGAAAGAAGCCACGCTTAGATCACGACCTTTAAGCTGTGTGAGAAGAAAAAAAACCACGCGCCTTGACAAAGGAATTAGCATATAATTTACCATTCAAATGACTCATTGAAATAGCTAAGTTAAAGTATACACATCCGCAGAGGTACCCCATGATAAAGGAATTAGCGCTGGAGTGGAAGAAGCCACGCTTAGATCACGACCTTTAGGCTGTGTGAGAAGAAAAAGGCCAAGTGCCTTGACAAAGGAATTAGCATATAATTTAGCATTGAAATGGCTCATTGAAATAGCTAAGTTAAAGTATACACATCCGCAGAGGTACCCCTTGACAAAGGAATTAGCGCTGGAGTAGAAGAAGCCACGCTTAGATCACGACCTTTAGGCTGTGTGAGAAGAAAAAGGCCAAGTGCCTTGACAAAGGAATTAGCATATAATTTAGCATTGAAATGGCTCATTGAAATAGCTAAGTTAAAGTATACACATCCGCAGAGGTACCCCTTGACAAAGGAATTAGCATCGAATTTAGCATTGAAATAGCTGAGTGATTAGCTTGTAACTGGTCACAGAAATAGCTATCTTCTTTGGTTCTTTCGGTAAAGTCATGTAGAATGAGAATAAAATAATAAATTGACTTTACCGAAAGAACCAAGAAGATGAATCCTTGCAGTCACGAAAGCTTTAAATCGAGAAATAGCTATGTTAAAGTTAGAGCATATACATTCACCGAGGCACCTAGTACTCATCAAACAGGCGAATTTAGCGAAACACAACCACGCTCAGACATCGGACCTGTGTGCGAGCAAACAAGGTGTTCTGACAAAGAAATTAGCATAAAAATTAGCATTTGATTGGCGGATTTTAGGAAAGAGGTGGTGTACGTGCCGGTGGACTTGCAGTTTGGCGCGGGGGGGAAAGGGGGGAGTTTACCTATTGATGGTGTGAAAAGGGGGAATTTATATAAGCAACCATTGGAAAGATGTTCTAAATCGAACTAAACATTAAACTAATTTCAATGGTACAGTATATTTTCAAGTAGTGGTACCCCAAACTTTCGCAGCTCTTATAAATTCCCCCTTTTCACACCATCAATAGGTAAACTCCCCCTCCCCCCTTTCCCCCCCCCCCCCGCGCCAAACTGCAAGTCCACCGGCACGTACACCACCTCTTTCCTAAAATCCGCCAATCAAATGCTAATTTTTATGCTAATTTCTTTGTCAGAACACCTTGTTTGCTCGCACACAGGTCCGATGTCTGAGCGTGGTTGTGCTTCGCTAAATTCTCCTGTTTGATGAGTACTAGGTGCCTCGGTGAATGTATATGCTCTGACTTTAACATAGCTATTTCTGTGGCCAGTTACAAGCTAATCACTCAGCTATTTCAATGCTAAATTCGATGCTAATTCCTTTGTCAAGGAGTACCTCTGCGGATGTGTATACTTTAACTTAGCTATTTCAATGAGCCATTTCAATGCTAAATTATATGCGAATTCCTTTGTCAAGGCGCGTGGTCTTTTTCTTCTCACACAGCTTAGAGGTCGTGATCTAAGCGTGGCTTCTTCCACTCCAGCGCTGTCCTCCAGACAGTCTCGTCCCTTCACCTGCTGAAGGCCGCTTGTGTTGTGGCCGAAACGTCGTGATTTTTTATTTTATTTTCACCGACGTGACTTTACCCAAGAGAACCAAAAACTCACATTACCCATAGACTCACATTACCCATAGACTAACATTGCCCATAGACTAACATTACCCATAGACTTACATTGCCCATAGACTAACATTGCCCATAGTCTAACATTACCCATAGACTCACATTACCCATAGACTAACATTGCCCATAGACTTACATTGTCCATAGACTAACATTGCCCATAGTCTAACATTGCCCATAGACTAACATTGCTCATAGACTAACATTGCCCATAGACTAACATTGCCCATAGACTACCGTTACCCATAGACTAACGTTACCCATAGACTAACGTTGCCCATAGACTAACGTTGCCCATAGACTAACATTGCCCATATACTGACATTGCCCAGAGAATAACGTTACCCATAGACTAACATTGCCCATAGACTAACATTGTCCATAAACTGACATTGTCCATAGACTCACATTGTATTTCGATTTAAAGCTTTCGTGACTGCAATGATTCATCTTCTTTGGTTCTTTCGGTAAAGTCACGTAGAATGAGAATAAAATAATAAATTGATAAAATAAAATAACACAATAATATTCTCACGACGTTTGTCTGACAGTCTCGTCCCTTCACCTGATGAAGGCCGCTTGTGTTGTGGCCGAAACGTCGTGAGAATATTATTGTGTTATTTTATTCTATCAATTTATTTTTTTTATTCTCATTCTACGTGACTTTACCGAAAGAACCAAAGAAGGAGACTCACATTGCCTACATATAAGCATTGCCTATCGACTAACGTTGCCCATCGACTAACGTTGCCCATAGACTAACGTTGCCCATAGACTAACATTGCCCACATATTAGCATTGTCTATAGACTAACACTGCCCATAGACTAACACTGCCCATAGACTAACATTGCACACACAGACTAACAAGTTATTGAGTAATATCATCGACAGAGCCTAGTGGAAGGAAGACCATGATTTCTGCTATCGTTGAGAAAAGACATGGGAGACATAGAGACAAAGAGACACGGCACTTTTATTTGCCTCATATTTATCTTTGAGCTCTGAAATTTGCAGTCTTATATTTAACATCTTCGGTCAAATCCTGTGGTATACTGAAAGTCCTTTCTGTTGGCCGGGAGTTATAGACTACCATTGCCCAAAGACTCACATTTTCCATGACTTACGTGCGTCACATACAATCTTAGGTGGTTTATATTCTCTCCCACGTATTACAACACAGGAATGTTAGTAATTAAGTCTTGGCTAAATTTGATATGAAAAAGCAGCAAACCAATTTGCCCCAAGGAGTAACGTTTTTGATCAATGCGTACGACCCGGCCATGACATCGATCAGAAACACGGACACTGCCAAAGGACGGCTGAAAATTGCTCAAAGAAGCACGGACTAAATGCACGCAGCGCCAGGAATCACGCCGGGAGCACACGGCTCAAGTTCGGGACGTCGTACGATCGACCGCCGAGTGCGCGTGGTTCGGGCAGGGACACCAGCCACCACCGTGAGGGCCCACGGCTGGGAGCCGGGCCCCGTGGTGGAGTCGCGGCCAAAAGCAGGCGATGCCCCCGAGGTCACGTCCCATTCAGCGTGAATCCGAACCGTGCCCCGCGGACGCACGTCTGCCTCATTTCCACATCACGCGGGCAATGTCGAGGCCGAGTGTCGCTCTGCCGCGCGCCGCCCGTCGGCATTTGCCGGACGACGCGAGGAGCAACGCGGAGAAGGACTCCGGGCAACGCAGGGCCACGCGCCCGCCCTCCAGGCGCGAGTTAACTCTCTGACACGGCGGTGTTTCTTATCGCTTACATCAACGTTGTTTGTTCTACAAGCGTTCTGTCGGAAGGCGTGCGTGCCGGAGCACGCTCAGCGTGCGTCAGGGGCAATGCATCGTCGGTCGTTTGGTTGCGTCGGTTGCGGGTTTCCGTGAGCCTCAATCTGCCCTCCAGTTCTGAACAAGCCGGCCCGTGGAAGAGGTCCGACTCTGTCCCGTCGTTTAACAGTTCCAAGTCTCTCTCGGGAAAACGAGCCTTATTAGAAATGTAACACGGAGGCTTTCGCGAGCAGTGTTATCGTTTCCTTGTTAAGTGCAACCAGCTTCATCAGGCGACAGCCAAAATTGAAGCTGGTTGCGGTCACCCAGCAAAACGTCGTACTCGAGTTATAAATGCTGTGGCGTTTACTCCCCAACACACGGATGTGCTGAACTAGTAAACACTTGGCACGTGTTGTTGACGTAACAAACCTTACTAAACCCGTGAAACCTCTATTAGGGTTTTCTTTTTAATTGGCATTCATGCCTTTTGTTTGTTTGGCAATTAAAGTTGTGGGCATCAACTCTGAAAGTTTTTATTTAAAGCTTTCGTGACTGCAGGGATTCATATTCTTGGTTCTTTCGGTAAAGTCACCACGTAGAAGGGAAACAAAAAAATAATTAAAAAATATATTAAATTTGAACATTTCAAATTTTCCTGCTGTGGTTTTCACACCTGATGATGATTGCTTGTGTTGCAGTCGAAACTTCGCGAGAATTTTATTTTTTATATTTTTACTGTTTCATTGTTTCCCTTCTACGTGGTGACTTAACCGAAAGAACCAAGAATAAAACTCTGAAAGTGTTGAATGTTGGTGGGGGGGTCAAGTTGTATTTTTCCATGACGAAGCGCACCTGCTTTGGTATTGGCCAACCTTGCCACTGCTTCACTCCGGGGCCGTGGTGCATCAGCGGTGTGGTGACGTTGCCGGGGCCATCGTTGCCGTTGCATTGCATGCCGCGTGGGTCACGGCGAGAAAATATTCCACGTGCGTGTGCGTCACTGAATCTCGTCTAACGGCACCGTTGCTACTCGTGTTGTTGACCCCCCACACACACCCACACACCCCCTCTCAGAGAGATCGTGGTCAAATTCCACCCCCCCCTACACCGGGATTTGAACTCGCATCAACCGGGCCGTGTGACTGGCACCGTCGCACGCGGCGTCACCCGGCCCGTTCAGAAAACTAACAAACAAAAAAACTAAAACCGGTCGGTTTTGCGTGACAGTGTTCGGGATCACAATTTGTTTTTTTTGTTTATCTATCCTGGAGAAATCCGATTGGGCTCCGAAGCGCTTTGTCGCTACGAGGGAAATCCAATGACCGTGTGCGAAAAAGCCACAGCAGTCGTGCGAATGCGTCCACGTGACCCAAAAACTACGGAGCGTGAAGTGAACCCACTGCCGTCCGTGCTCCTTCACCGGAGCAGGAGGGACGGCGAAACTCCCCGAATTCTCCCCCGAAGCCCTCCCGTGGCGAGCAGACCTCGACGTGAACATCTGTGACGTGCCTCGTTCTGCAGGCTCCCTGACGCACACGTGAGGAGGTACACGTGGCAGATTCTGCAGGCTGTGAATTACTGCCACAAGCACAACGTAAGTACCATTCAACACGCGTAGCAGGCTCCCGCGGACAATAGCATCATTCACCATGGATGTTTGGACCCGATCGCGTGTGTCGCGTGTCGTGTACCCCTCCTCCAACCGACACGGCCAAATATTAAAGCTGCCACGTGAACGAACGTGATGAATTGGCCGTAGCGGGTGGAGGAGGGCTATACGACACACATTTTACTTGAGCGATCTGACCCTAACAGTGTGTTACTAATCACAACATTCGCACACCTCTCTCTCTCTCTCTCTGACGTTCACGAGGAGGGTCCCCCCAGGTTTACGCACGTCGGGAGAAATCGCAAATTGCTTGCCGCCATCACACAATGGACCTCCTCTTCGATCAGCCACTGTCGTGCATGTTTTATGGTTGAAACGCTCGCGCACTATTAACCGGGGGCGGCTTTTTTATTTCTCGATTCGAGCCGTGAACCTCAATGGCTGTTAATGGCGATGATGACGACTGCGGTGATGAAAAGTGACAAATTACGAAATATATAACGGAGAAAAGTCTTCAACTCCAAACATGAACTCCAAGGGGAAAGCGACGGCGTTACATTACGGAGCTCCGTGATCGCGATTCGTCTCTCAGCCTTCGACACTGGGCGACAGGTTTCATCAGCCCCGACTTTCTTGGCCTGTCAGGCGAATGAGTTATTGCACCCCCCTCGTTGTGTGGTGCTCCTGCTGCTCCTCCTCCTTCCTGCTGCTCCTCCTCCTTCCTGCTGCTCCTGCTGCTCCTCCTGCTGCTCTTCCTGCTGCTCCTCCTGCTGCTCCTCCTGCTGCTGCTCCTCCTCCTGCTGCTGCTCCTGCTGCTCCTCCTCCTACTGCTGCTCCTGCTGCTCCTCCTCCTCCTGCTGCTGCTCCTCCTCCTGCTGCTGCTCCTGCTGCTCCTCCTGCTGCTCCTCCTGCTGCTGCTCCTCCTGCTGCTCCTCCTCCTGCTCCTCCTCCTGCTGCTCCTCCTGCTGCTCCTCCTGCTGCTGCTCCTCCTGCTCCTCCTGCTGCTCCTCCTGCTGCCCATGGTCGTCGTCATTCTCGCGCAGGGAGCAGCCACGCCCTGCTCCACGCCAAGCCGCTCCGGCCCACGGATGCGCGGCTTCTCACCGCTGCCGCATGCATTAGTAATCTGTATTCCGAGAGCATCTGCCCCCCCCCCCACCATCGTGAAAGTAATCCTCTTTCCACTCTCGCTACCTTAGCGATGTCATAAACGTGCGTGAAGTGAATGGGCGTTCGTTCCCCCAACAGCTGCCAATCCTGCCCGGAGGCGTTGGTCATCGGATATCGCTTTTCTTTATTTTAGGTGAACGATTTTAATTCATTACGTTTCGTTGCCGGTAACCGAGGGCTATCCTCCTGACAACTCCTGCCCCCCTCTCCCCTGCTCACATAGGAAGTATAATTTGAAAAGATACTGGAACTCGTGGAAATAAATATATCATGTTAAGTGTATTCTTTAATTGATTCATGCCGAACCTTTCTTACGCTATTTAACTTACTCTTGGTGCCTCCACATTGTTTTTTTTGACGTTCTTAGATTTCATTGTGGCAACGTCAACATACGACCTACCACCACCTCCTCCCCCCTGTGTCGTGTTGCAGTGAACCGTTTGAGTGGCGTTAACAAGACGGGGTAGTGGACCAGGTATAGGCGTGGAGCGTTAAGCTATAAATACATTTGACCAGTTATGATGTTTGCCGCAGGAAATACGATGACCGCCGTGACGGAGTAAACTTGGCGGTTAGCACGCGTAAGTTAAAAGCGAGACGATAAAACGGTGCAAATACTGCCGGTACAAGTGAGGGCACGGAGTTGTTACATCATTGGTCTTGCCGACAGTTCACGTGATGCACAAACACACACGCGACACACTTTGGTGGGATTGCGTACGCAAGATATGTTAACGGTGCAACCAACGATTGAAAACAAACTAAACTGATTGCAAATTGAATTTCAGGAATACGCTACGATCTTCCGGTGAAACGTGTCCTCTTTCGTAAAAATAAAAAGCGGTAAAAAGTTGGAAATAAAAAAAATGTATCCGCTCACATTTTGAGGCTGCTCCTAAGGAGTCACCTGCACCATGAGCTGTCTGTGAGCAGTGCGCGTATTTGCGTTCTTAAATCGTGTTCCCAACAATCGGAATTATTGTCGCCATTACACAATATTACACAGGATTACGCAGAACACGCTGAGAGACAGCAGTTTTATTGACAGATGATGTTACCTGCATTTAAAATAATAAATTGCTAAACATATATTTGCAATGCATATACTACTCATGCACTGTAAATGCATGTATGCAAGTGGGTTAAAAGAGGCCGACGTGGGTTAAACGCCTTCTTTGTCCCGGTGCTCAATAGCAACAAGGCCACTGGAGGAGGGTCAGGTTCAGGTGTAGATGGGAGGAGGGCTTCTGGAGGAGGAAGTGCCTCTCATCTGCACCTCGAGCTCATGACCGTGGCTGGATGACCTCGCTTCTCTGAGCACCAACAAAAAAAAAGCGTTTTTGACCCCACGTAGAGCCTCTTAGTAGCCCGCCCAATGTGTGAGACCAAACTCATTTAATCTAGTCGGAAAGCTTTGTTATTGTTGTTGTTGTCGTGAATCAGATTTTACAATAACGTTAACGACGAATTTTCACAGTGCTGCGTTTCGCCCAAATGTTACGAAAGTTATGCACTGTTAAAAGGGAAATGCATTTACTCAAGCAACATGGAGGCTATGATCACCACTGGCACGTTCGGGCTTATGGGCCATGGTGCGCGATGTTAACCCAAGATAATTCAGGCTGTACCGTTGTGCTCCACCGTAGAACTCATCTGATTCGCAAGCCTATATTCTGCGACTTCTACTATCCGCAGGAGCAGTACTGTCCGGGAGGACTATAATACGCGCCTCTATTCCTATTATAATCCACAATCTTCTGCGGATTTTCCCATCCTGCTTTGCAGAATGTCTTCCTTGTTGTCCGCGAATGTGTTGGTGACCCAGAAGAGTTGCCCTGCACATTCGCCCTGCAATGCCACATTTATCCCACCCCCCACCCCCCCGTGTATACGTGAAGCAAGATCGCGGATAGCCCCGCGAATCATAGGATCTGTGATATTGGTCGCCTACGTTCCAGCGGATTCAAGCAGTCAAAGAAAATACCGCACTCCACTGCACCTCAGCACGCAAACCTCGCAAACACCTTAAGCCGCGATACAGAGAGAGAACGCACCCTGTTCAATTATTGAACCCAGCGTACAGTAACTTCATGATGACTTTCGGTGATGGTTGATGCACCCTGTTCCCCCAGTGCATCCACAGAGACGTGAAACCGGAGAACATTCTCATCACTAAACACGGCGTCGTCAAGCTGTGTGACTTTGGATTTGCCAGATTGCTGAGTGAGTATATGTCAAGTGAGAATGACACCCATATATTCATCAACAAAAATAGTAACGCCATTGAAATGTTTTTGGAAATTGTATGCGTCTTATGTATACAGGTCAACACTCAAAAATGTACTTCTAAATGTGTACCTGTATGAGCAAAAAAACACTGAATAATGAACATTCGCACGTATATATGTTGAACTTCTCTCGCACCGTTTCGTAAGAAGTTCAACATGCATACGTGGTGTTGAACTTCGACACCGTTTACACTTCGACACGCGTCCTGGACACTCCACACAAAAGTTTGAATCTTTATGAGAGAACATTTCACTGTAAATAGACTTTCAAGAACAGTCCTGGAATACCACTGTGGTGGCAGAGCTGCCGGATGGTTTTTAACTTCACCGCAGGGACATATCTGTGGTGCAGCGTGACCATCCTTCACCTCCCACAAAGTGGTACTCATTTTAGACCACTTCAAACAGGTGATAGGCCGAATTAACCCCGAACTTCCGACTGTGAGCTGATTTCACTACCCAGAGGGCCCACCCGGCCAAAGCTAAACGCATTACAGAATTTTAATTTACGCCACTCGTAAAAAACAGAAAAGCACAGAGTGCAACAAACACAACGGTCCGTGACCATCCCCGCTACGTCCGTGTGGGAGGAGGTCGCCTGCTGGCTCGGGAATCGGGGATTTTGAACCGGCACCGCCGAGGGCCCGAGTTTCAATCCGGGTTGTTGCCCACCCACCACCAAACTGGATTCTCGAGCTTTCGTTTCAGTTCGGACAAAAACTCAAATACATTCGGTTTGACTGTGCATTTTCCTGCCAGCGCAGCACGGTGGTAAATTATCCGTCCTAGAGCGGTGTTTCTCAAACTTCTTTTCACCCACGGGCTACTCAGCCGATGCGAACTTTTCCGCAAGCCACCACCCAACCCCCCCACTCCTGCTGACAAAACGCATTGACGTATCACTCTGTACCAGTCATAATAAATCATTAATATTACCTAACCATACAAATATTATTATTTTTTACACAGCTTTAAAGTTTTTTTTAGGCGGGGTTGGGTTGCAGGGGGAGCATTTAGATGTGAGGGTTAGGTAGTTTAATCAGGGTAGTTTACATAACTTCATTTTAAAATTAAATATCATTAGTAAAATATGAATTAACGTCCGAAACAAAAGGTATGAACATTGTCACGATTGTCCGCATCAACCTGCGTTTGCATCGCAGCCACCGCGGGCCATCTGGTGGTACCGGGGGCCACACTTTGACAACAACTGACCTCGTGCAAGGATGGGCAAGCGTACTTGAACGGATTTCAGGAACAGCTCCCATGATGTAGGCTGTTGTCTAACGGTGATGTACACTAGTTACGAATAAATAGAATTGTACTGAGAACAGGTTGACTCGAAGACGTACATCGTCACGGCATAACCTATGTCTTTGTGGATGTGCAGTTACGCCATCTGGGCAAATTGCACGAACAACAAGAAATAATTTCAACTTGTAAAATGCCGCACAGTATTTACTTTCTCTTGTATATTCATAACCAGACAAGTGGAAAGGCAGCCAGCTCCATCAATTGGCCAAGCTCTGCGGTCCACCGTATATTGAGCTGTTATCGGCCAATTATTGAGTGTTTACACGTGGGAAGAAACCGTAGCACCTGGAGAAACCCCACGCGTGCGAGGGGAAACACTCTATCCCGTACGGATGAAACAGTAGAAATCCAGAGTTTCGCTGTACTGCCTCCTCCTGGCAAGCCAGGGTATAACACCCAAACGCCCACAGGAAACGAGTTTCGCAAAATGTGTGCGATCCACCAACCCTTGCTACCTCCGCAGTGCTGGATTGCAGACCACGTGCATAGCCACCAGCACCACCACGCAGCATTGAGACAGTTTTGATTAAACTTCTTTTCCACGGCTGCTTTATTGACAGACGCTCGGAGTCGGTGTGAGCGGCGCACGTGTTGTTGCTGCACGACATCAAATGACAACCTGCAAAACCACTGCCAGTTTCAATTGCTACGCCGGTGATATCGCAGCAATCCAGACAACCAAACCTGAATGCAATGAAATAGATGTTTCAACATCGGAGTGTACAGCAATTAAGGAATCACCTGCACCCTGAGCTGGCTGTGAGCAGAGCGCATATTTGCGTTCTGAAATTGTGTTCCTAACAATTGGAATTATTATACAGGATCATGCAGAACATGCAGTCTTATAGAGAGATGATGTTACCTCCATGTACCAACATAATCAGCTGCTAAACATATATATTTGCAATGTATATGTATATTACGTATGCATTGTAAATGTACGTATGAAAGTGGGTTAAACGAGGCCTGCGTGGGTTAAAAGCCTCCTTTGTCATTCTAGACTAAAATGCATAGTCCTATTGACATGCTTTCCGAAGCCATGCCATCGATTCATGCTTAAGTGTCACCAGTTGTGAGAACACAAGAGACCAGGACAGCGCCTCATTTGCAAGAGTGGACCTGCGCCACCAAAAATGGCAACAGCGAAAACAAATTAAATAAAAACGCGAACAAAAACAACAGAGTCGCACCGTGAGGAATTGTAAATACTGCAATCCTAATAGCCTGCAGCGCGAATGGGTTCCACGGTAGGTTACATGCAGATTAAACGCAGCACGAATGACACACCTGAGCGAGCGAAACATTCAACAGGTTGACGATGGTGTTGATATGTAGCACGGTTGGCTACGTACGGTGCGAAAGAAGACCAACATACACACGCAGTACCGGATGATCCTAGTAGCAAAAGTACCTACATATGTAGTAGTAGCTACGGGCCCCGCACTTTCAAGGCCCCCGCGCTAAATGCTTTCAAGCTACCACTTCCGGTTCAGTGATACTGCACTTGCTCTATTACTATAGTACTATACCGCCTTCAACTTTTATGAACGACCGGGTGTTTCAGGTTAGGGATTTGTCGTATTATCTGACTGTATAGCAAATGATAAAATAACTTTACTATGCAAGTTAAAACTTTGTGTTTGAATATTTACGTGTTTTTTTGTTTTAATTTAGGGCCCCTTTATAACAGAAGCCACAGGCCCCGCACTAGCTTAACTCCGGCACTGCACACGCGTACATTCGCGCGCCTAAACAACGGCGTCTCCCAACGTGCCACGTTGCAACGCGCGGAACCCACGACCGGCGCCTCGACCGAGTCCCTCCGGCCGTGCCAACCCCGCGCGTGCTCCCGCTGTGCTTTCCCAGCGGGCCAGGAGGACCGCTACACGGACTACGTGGCCACGCGCTGGTACCGCGCGCCGGAGCTGCTGGTCGGGGACACGCAGTACGGCCCGGCCGTCGACGTGTGGGCCGCCGGGTGCGTCTTCGCCGAGATGCTGTGCGGAAACGCCCTGTGGCCCGGCAACTCGGACCTGCACCAGCTGCATCTCATCACCAAGACCCTGGGTGATTTGCGCTCTCGTGGCTCGTGATTCGGAGGCGGGCGACGCGGTTCGGGGGCTCGATGTGCGGACACGTTTGACGTTCTTCGAGCGCCGCCGCGCGTAGTCAACCGCGCTCATCGGAAGGACGACAAAGTAAACGCAACAGGAAGCAGCTCTGAAGAAAATGAGTTTTCAACCCACAGGAGATTTAAATGTGCATCGCTCCAGTGGCTTGATGATGAGGTGGCGATGGTGATGAGAAGGTGGTGATGGTGGTGATGGTATATATGTGTACGTATGTTGGAACTTCCTTCGCACCGTACGTAGCCAACCTCGCTAATAGGATGTGCGGGGGAAGGACAACAAACTAAACACCTCGAGCAGTTCTAAAGAAATGAGTTGTCAATCTAGAATAGTGGTGAAGTGTATAGTGGTGTAGTGTATAGTGGTGTAGTGTATAGTGGTGTAGTGTATAATGGTGTAGTGTATAGTGGTGTAGTGTATAGTGTATCGTGTGGTGGGTGGCATAGTGTGTATAGCATATAGTGTATAGCAGTGTAATGCATAGTAGTGGAGTGTATTGTGTAGTGTATGTTGGTGAACTTCTTTCGCACCGTACGTAGCCAACAGCGCTAATCGGAGGTGCGGTGGGTAAGGAGAACAAACTAAACACGACAAGCGGCTCTAAAGATGCCGCGGTGCTGCTGGCCACGCCGAGTGGATTCCAGGAGAGAGCCGGTGTGTAGTTTCGCGATTCATCTGCGATTGACCGTGTCGGGTGGAGGAGGGCATACGACACACGTTGCACTCGCGCAATCTGACCCGAAAATCTATTGTGAAGCATGATATTGGCCGCGGGAGGCTGCTACGCGTGTTCGATGGTGCTTGCATTGCGCGTGTGGCAGTAATTTGCGGCCTGCAGAATCTGGCAGGTGTACTTCATCACGTGTGCATCAATCAGGGAGCCTAAAGGACACGCGACTCTGAAGTTGCGCACGGTAATATGTGCACCAGCTAAATGCCAATGTCGAGGTCTGCTAGCCGCGGGAGGGCTTCAGGAGAGAGTTTGTGTCGTTTTGTTTGTTGAACTTCTTTCGCGCCGGACGTAGCCAACCGTGCTAATCGGAGGTTCTGTTCCTCTGTTGAAAGAGCGCAGAATACAGCGGTTTGCGAGACGCTCCACAGTTTGGGTTAAACACACCACAGCTGTACTGTGGCTTGACTTTAGCTTTTTATTTACTGTAACGAATAAGTGTAAATGAAACAACATGTGAGAATATAAATGCTCTTTACCCACGAGGAGTGGTATTGAACCCTGTAAATATTATGTGTGACGTAAGTACATGTCAGGGTTAACGGCCTTTACAGCAGGAAGAAGCTTAAACATTTTCAGAAGCGATCAGTTCGATGTTCAATGATACTAATCTAAATGGAACGTCACAAATCCAACGATTAAATAATTTCGACAATAATGCATAGAAGGTCAAAACGCTGGTAAATATATCAATTACCACAAATCTATGGGACCTTTTTGCCAGTCGCAAATGATGTCAAAGTGTTTATTTATTTTCATGGTCCACTCTTAAGCACTTTGGTAATTTCCTACATTACGGGAGAATGACCGTCATAGCCACTGTCCTCACCATTACGTTATCCAGCCACCCAAGCCGGCTACTCACTTGATCATAAACAAGTATGACGGTGACATGGCTGAGCGGTCGCGTGTCTTACTGCTCGCTTACTGCTTGCTCCAGCGGTTCCCGGTTGCAAGCCCGCAGCTACCCTGGTCATTACTAAGGGCGCCATGGTGGCATGATCTTAACTACCTCAACAGGTCTACAGTAGGTCGTGGGTTCGATCTCGACCCTTCTACCGTATATGTGGAGTTTGCGTGTCTCTCCCCGTGGTCGCATGGAATTTTCTCCGGATCCTCCGGGGTTTCCCCTCCACATTTAGGATCAACGTCACGCGTTTAGAGTATTTTGCTGCTATAAATTCCCACGTGATAAGCCGTTGTGTTGAGCTATCATTTGTGGCCAGGTAGCTTTTGGAATAGTAGTGGGCCTGACCTGGTAAAATAAAAAAAAATTGTTAATAGTTTTAAAAAAATATGAATCCCTACAGTCACGAAAGCTTTAAATCAATTTTTTTAAAAAATATGTTTAGTTTATTACTGTGGGCGTTTAAACGATGCCAATACGTGCCTTGGCGCTTCACAATGGACGTTGAGAGATCCCGCGACGTTTTTAAACAGAGAGTAGGCCATCGTGTGCCCGCGTCATGGTCAAAAGTTGCCAAAAAAATGTTGAACGACACGTAAATTACTCAATTTGGAAACGCATCGGAAACATGCCCCCTGCTCTTAACCAACGCGAAGGCTTCCGTGACCAACATCACGATCCATGATTGATTTCTGGGCCAGATCGCGTTGGGCAAATGTGCGCCGTAAAGCCTCATCCACCCAACGCAGCCAATTGCGTTGCCATCGCTGCTTCAGTACCACCGGTGTTGTTTCTGGAGAGCAATCCGCGCACATGTAACAATTGGGTACACGACGTTTTTGCTGTTATTAAGAACTGGCGTGTTGCATACATGTGAAGATGTCCTTTGGTCTTCTTCCCGACTGGGAAATTTAACAGGACCCCCTGAAAAGGAGTCTTGAGACTCAATAAGATGTTTCATGGTTCATTTTTTCTAATACACATATATTGCACCTCAGAGCTTTCCTTTGTGTTTAAATGCCATGAAATACGGCGATATGAAATATGAATGATGGAACACAAGTTTGTTTGAAAAATGTCTTCATTTATAAAAGTTATTTTGGATGAGATCGCGTGACTATAGATCGTGTCGTTGACCCACCACAACCCGAGGCAGCCAATCAGTAAGGTTGGTCACGTACACAAAGCGTGGCAATTCGTTACTACTTCAGCACACCGGTGTGTGTTGGAGAGTAAACCCACGACATTTACAATTCCAGCACTGACATTTCGCTATTAATTACAGCAACCAGCCTCATCGGGCGAATTTTACGGGGACTGTGATCTAACCCCAAAGGAACTTTTATCACGAGTAACACTTTTCGCGAAAGCCTACGTGTTCAATATATAACGTATGTCGTCCGTTGTTTAGGAGATCTCATACCATGGCATAAGCAAGTCTTCATGTCGAACCAGTTTTTCAGCGGGGTCTCCATCCCTGAACCCGTCAAATTGGTGAGGCCCTCTTTTGTGGTTATTTATGGACGACGCGATTACTTAACTGTTGAGTGTGATGTAAGGAGCTGAATTGTTCATCATGGTGCCGATGCAGGTGCTCCATGCCACGGTGGCTCTCCGATGTGTGTGTTGGATGTTGCCGCACGTTGTCTGGCGCGACGTCCGTCGTTTCGCGCACACACGCAATCGGTCTGACATTAACAGTGCCATCACGGCTCTTATTTCATGCATAGCTCGACAAATGTTCAAGTTGATGGAAATGAAAAAATGCATTTAACCCTTTAAATTTAATTTTAGTCCACCCTTTAAGGCGAATGACTGGCGGAGAGAATGGCATGTGTACTACGTCCATGACTTGTGCCTGGCCGGTTCATGCTCGTGTCTGACTGGTGGTGGTGTAGACTGTGAGCTGTGGCAGGCTATGTGTTTGTATGCATGTATGTTGAACTTCTTTCACACCGTACGTAGCCAACCGTGCTAACCGGAGGTCCGGGGGAAGGACAACAAATGATGCGTCTCTGTGTGAGACTAGGGTCTCTGTGTGAGACTAGGGTCTCTGTGTGAGACTAGGGTCTCTGTGCGAGTCTATGGGTCTCTGTGTGAGACTAGGGTCTCTGTGCGAGTCTATGGGTCTCTGTGCGAGTCTATGGGTCTCTGTGTGAGGCTAGGGTCTCTGTGTGAGTCTATGGGTCTCTGTGTGAGTCTATGGGTCTCTGTGCGAGTCTATGGGTCTCTGTGTGAGACTAGGGTCTCTGTGCGAGTCTATGGGTCTGTGTGAGACTAGGGTCTCTGTGTGAGTCTATGGGTCTCTGTGAGAGACTAGGGTCTCTGTGCGAGTCTATGGGTCTCTGTGTGAGTGTATGGGTCTCTGTGTGAGACTAGGGTCTGTGTGAGTCTATGGGTCTCTGTGTGAGACTAGGGTCTCTGTGCGAGTCTATGGGTCTCTGTGTGAGACTAGGGTCTCTGTGTGAGACTAGGGTCTCTGTGCGAGTCTATGGGTCTCTGTGCGAGTCTATGGGTCTCTGTGCGAGTCTATGGGTCTCTGTGTGAGACTAGGGTCTCTGTGCGAGTCTATGGGTCTGTGTGAGACTAGGGTCTCTGTGTGAGTCTATGGGTCTCTGTGTGAGACTAGGGTCTCTGTGCGAGTCTATGGGTCTCTGTGTGAGTGTATGGGTCTCTGTGTGAGGCTAGGGTCTGTGTGAGTCTATGGGTCTCTGTGTGAGACTAGGGTCTCTGTGCGAGTCTATGGGTCTCTGTGTGAGACTAGGGTCTCTGTGCGAGCCTATGGGTCTCTGTGTGAGACTAGGGTCTCTGTGCGAGTCTATGGGTCTCTGTGTGAGACTAGGGTCTCTGTGCGAGTCTATGGGTCTCTGTGTGAGACTAGGGTCTCTGTGCGAGTCTATGGGTCTCTGTGTGAGACTAGGGTCTCTGTGCGAGTCTATGGGTCTCTGTGTGGTGAGCCTATGGGTCTCTGTGTGAGACTAGGGTCTCTGTGCGAGTCTATGGGTCTCTGTGTGGTGAGCCTATGGGTCTCTATGTGAGTCCATCAACGTATGTTGATCTTCTTTCGCACCGTACGTAGCCGACCGTGCTAATCGGAGGTGCGGGGGAAGGACAACAAACTAAATATGGGTAGCAGTCGCCCGAAGCCTTTCGCTGTGATGCAATCGACTGCAATTTGCTCTGCTGCTGTTCCATTTAAATCGATACGAGGTTTTTGGCCTGCAGGTTATCTGCGCTATTGAAGTTAAACTTTCGTAACCATTGCTCATGGGAACATTTCTTTTAAGCATTATTTTAAACATTCCATTTCGGAGTGGTGGTGGTGGCGCACGCCTAGAATCAAACTGGAGGCGAGGGTTGGTGGATTGCGGAAATGTTGCCAAACTCCCTTCCCGTGGCCGTCAAGGGAGGGCCGTACCCTGGTCCGCTATCAATTTATTATTGTATTCTCATTCTACGTGACTTTACCGAAAGAACCAAAGAAGATACAGCAAAGCTGTGGACCTGTGGACGGGATAGAGCGTTTTTCCCTCGCACGCCTGGGTTTTCTTCAGGTGCTCCTCCCACATGTGAACACGCATTAATTGGCCAATAACACCTTCATATGCAGAGGAACGCAGAGCTTGGGCACTTGTTGGTGCCGGCCATAGGCAGAGTTTGACTGCTATATTTTGGGTGGTGTGGAGGGGTTCGCTTTGTCACTCACATTAGGAATCGTGAGCGAATAAAATTTATGTATTATCTTAATTGTAAAATATTGAACATAAATTAAGAAACGTGCCCAGTTTGGGGTGGACGTTGCCCGCCCCCCCGCCACCCCGTGGCCCCCACACGTAAACCGAGCCCATGGTGCCGGATCACCGCGTGGCCGCTGCTGCCTTCCCGCGTGGTTCCTCCTCGCGCCTCCGAGCCGTCGGTTCTCTCTCTACGAGAGCGACCGAGCGAGCGAGCGGACGCTCTGCGGGAGGCGACGCGCTACAAGTCGAACAGTGATTATTATTATTATTAATACGCCAAACGGTATAACAGGACATGGCACGAATGTAACTGGACGCACGCACAGCTATTTTAAGTGTGCAAAGTGAATCTTCGGAGCTGCGAGAGCACTGGGCTGTGCTACGCTGTGACATTGTTACAAACGCCGCAGGTTGATGCGCAATAAGGACCGAGTGAAGACATTTAATTGCACGCCGGGTGTTCTTGTTCTTACCGTTGCAGGAGCCCCTTGAGGAGAGATTCCCACGGATTTCTGCACCCAGTCTTAGCCTCATGAAGGTCAGCCAGCACGGGGTTGTTTTCCATAATTGATTACACCCTCCAAAGGTCAAGGGGTTCAATAGTAATCGGCGCATCGTGTGCGTTATCAGGAGACAGCAAAAGGGATCAGGGACAGAGTTGCAGTACGTGGTGCCTGTAATGTGGCGCGCTCCATTGAGAGGAATCAGTTTTAAGGTAGCAAACTGGAACATGTATTGCCGTTCTACAATTAGCATTACAGTAAGTCCTCATCGACGCGTTTTCGCGAAACCACGCTTTTTTATATTTGGGAACACTTTTAGCGCAATGTTTGGGCTGGGCGTTGCCACCCCACCCCGTGCCTCACCCGCAAACTCCGTCCATGGTGCCGGCGCCCGTTATAATGAAGAATGCGCCCATTGTAACGTCGAATGCGCCCGTTATGTGGAATGTGCCCATTGTAACGCATTCTCTGAGCGAACTAATTTCTTGAGCCGTGCGGCCGAGCAGTGATGCAGCACGCGGAGCGATGCAGCACGTGTCGGCGTACCCTCATTCTCTGGCTGCAGGCTCCATTTGTTTGTCGCAAACGTGATTCAGCATCTGTAATTCCTCGCTTAACCGTGGTACATGTCAGGAGCGCGTATACTACGTTAAGCAAGGGATTACTGTACATCAGCATGTCACATTCTCTATCTCTATTAATCTTGATTTGAAGCTTTCGTGACTGCAGGAATCCATACTCTTTGGTTCTTTCGGTAAAGTCACGTAGGTAGAAAAATAAAATAATTATTTTGTTTGATTTTATTTTATTTCTAACTACGCGACTTTACCGAAAGAACCAAAGAGTATCTATCAAACTTTTTTTTGCCAGTATCAAAGTGTAGTGACGAACTCGGAGACAGTACGACTTGGATACACTTCTGTTATTTAACGAGCACCATCGGTGTAACACACCCTACGTGGGTGCACACTCTGCAGTCGCTCGCCTACACACAACTCTAACCGTCTAACACCGACGGCGCTGACGGAGACGGCCGACCACCGTCCAGCAGCGCAATGTCGAGTGAAGGCGGCAGCGACGATGGCGACGAGATGATAACGACGATCTTGAACAGCGCGACGGGGATCCCACTTCCAGCGACAGCCACGAGGTCCCACCGCCCCTCTTATACTCCCAGCGTGGCCACGCCCTCCTTCTGGAACCTACTCGCAGGTTCCCGGGGCTCCCCAATGGGCCCCTTCTGTGACCTAGCCCCTCGATGTCCCCCTCTCGTGTCTATCCGTGGCCTGCCGGCGTGAGTACTGCCGTACACCGCAGTTACCATTTCTCCGCCAGCAGGCAGCGCTATGCCACTACAAAAGTATGAAAACTCATAATAGGTGTTTGCCTTTCTGGCAATGAAACAGTTGTGTGAAGATGTTCAAACAGCAAATAGAAACCTTTTTGTAAGGCATCAAGTTACTGCATTAACCACACACGGTACTCGCTCTGGTAATATAATTATATAAAGCATTGTCTTTGAAACTGATTGGCCGACGCCAGAGACAGCGGCCTTCTTCATGACCTTGTCTCACTGCCAGTGTCAGACCAGAGAACGACACAATGCACGTATCAGAGTCACGAATAGCTTGGCTTCACCAGTTATGCTGCTGTAGGCGAGGCGAGAGTGAAACTTCTCGCCACCGTGGCGAGACATTCTTGCATAAACAAATAGTAAATGCTGTATCATGGGACCTCCCTTGCCAGGATCAAAATATAAGAATATAGTTGACCCTTTCCTGCAATAAAACAGCTGTGTTGAGATGCAAGGAATCCTGTCTGCATTAACCACATATGCTTGTGGTGAACATGCAAACAAAAAACATGCTCTTGTAGTATATGATGCATTGTCTTTGAAACTGATTTCAGTTTGGTGTTTTAACATCATAACACGGCTGTTTTATTGCCAGAAAGGGTAATAAAAAAAACCCTATTCGTATAAGTAAATGCTGCAACACGTAGTTTTTTTTTGTTATCTACATTTTTTTGGATCCAAGCGACATTTCTTGACCCTGCAACAGAGCTGCTTGAAAATGGACCCCGCGGCACGGCTGACGACCGCGGGCCTGCTGGAGCAGGCGTACTTCGACGGCTGCCGTGAGGACTTCGACAGGGGCAGGGACGAGGCGGAGCGAGGGACCCACAAGGGAGACCGGGTCACACGCCGGGGACCCGCGGTGAGCGCAAATTGAGAACATTCCTTGTCCTTAACACACACGCATATAATATACACTTGGAGGTAGAATCCGATGAGCTATGAAGCTGTTTTTTTTAAACAGATGTCCAGTAGGGGGCGGGATAGAAGGTTACAACAACAAACGGTACAACCCCCCCCCCCGCCCCGCTCACGATCGGAGCGAGTGCAGCCGCGCCGAGCGGCGACACGCGCACAGCGCTACCGTGCTATCTCGCTGTCGCTAAACGTCGCTAACGTGACGCGTTTGAGAGGTTGGCGTCGAAAACGTGCACGTCGATGTCGCGATTTAATATTAAGATGCTCCAGCGAGTGTTATTTGAATTGTGAAACGCCAAAATACAAGCGATGTAAAAAAATTACAACGTAAAGGTTTGTATGACCGCTACCTATCCCATAATTGCAATCATCACGAAGGACTCACTTACATTTCCCCATGAGCATCTGCCACCATAACACCCCTCCACTCATATCCCCCCCACCCACCCATTGCCAATGTCGTGCCAGAGCAATGATCAATAATGGTGTTATCAAAATCGGTGTTTTCATTCAAGCAAGTACAACGTTTGCCTCTCCTCCGAGGCCCAACATCCATGACCCCGAGTCTCACGACTGACCAGGAATCATCTTCACACCCTGGCCTTAGCCCCACCTAATTGCCCAACTTGTGTTTATCCCCCAAGCCATGAATTTGATCCAGCGTCTTTAACATGGCACTTCCAATCAGAATTCATGCCATGTCAAAAAAAGCACCTTGAAAAAAATGTGCATTTAAATCGATCCTTCAAACAACATTTTATTATCTTACGTGAAAAGGCTTTTTTAACATTGACAAAGAAAACATTTTCTGAATGATTTTTTTTAAATTTGCATTTCAGATACAGCCTCTACCGCAGCTGATGGGAAACAATCCTGTCTTACCCGTGCCAGAAAGCCGCAAATATTTCCGCTCCAAGTACAACCACCTTCCCAACATCGGCGCGCCTTACAGAGACGGTCACTTTGGTGGCCTGCGTTAACTTTAAAAGTTCGAAATAATGATTTGCCAAGAGAGGAAACCTCCCCATAAACAAACGGCCCCCCTATTTGATTCAAAGAAGCAATGGTAATTCGAAGAGATTTAAGTCCGCATTATTATTTCCCCATTATTTGGATGACCAATGATCAGAAAATAATTAGAATGTATGAATGTGCATTTTTATAATTATGCTCTGAAATTGCCGAGATGACGTACGTACTATAATATTGTATCGATGTGCTACTGATTGAAATGACTTTATCTAACCAAAGGAATCTAGCATCTGCAGTGTGATCTATAATTGAGTCTAATCAATGGTTACAATAATCACACACACAGAGCAGCTGGCCTTTTTCAAAGTTCAAAGGTTGCATATGTTGACGTTAAATGCAGTGCCACAACAGAGAGAATTTCGGTTTGTAGCCAGCTCAGAGCCATAAGCAATAGAAACGATTCTTCGCGATGTGATCCATTTATTCATCGAGTGACGGCCGGGGATGAATACAAACCACCCACAGCACCGCCTTTGTCTCTAAAAGACTGAAGCGTTATAACGGGCGCATTCTGCTTTATAACGGAGGCATTCCGCATTGCGCTAAAAGTGCTCCCATTTGGGTTGATACCTAGGAAGTGCCCGTGTCGCTTTTGTATATTATTGATTTTTGATTCATTTGGTTTTACTTACAACCGTTTACTATGTACGCCCATGCAATTAAACATATAGGCTATGAATACATTGTGTGTATTTGTGTTCTCAACAATTTGGTGCTGCTGCGTTATAACCAAAAAACTCAACATGTTGGTCAATAACACTTTGGCCTCAAAAGGAATATATATACACATCCTTTAAAGTAAAAATAATGTAATCATTCACAACTGCTCAGGTCGACTTCAGAACAGAGTTGGTTTGAGAAGTCTTAAGTTACGCGAGAGCTAAGATCAACGGCGCTCTTACGCTTGATACACACACATCCGATGGATTTTCCATCGATTTTCACTTTTTAAAAAAATAGGATTCATAGGAAAACTAAGTGTGACATCATTATTTAACGAGGCTACATGTGCTTGCAAAATAGCAAACGGATATCGAATTTCAATCAACTTTACCATGGCGTTCCAAATGCCATCCGACGGAGACTTGCCGATACAACCAAGACCTCAAACAAGACTCAACCCGGCCTGTCTAAAAGACTCGCGGACAGCAAGGCGGAGGCCGGAGGGGGTTATCCCGAAGACTGCACCAACCGTTAATTTGGAGATAGTGACAATGTACATTGTCGAACTTATTTCGCACCGTGCTAATCGGAGGTGCCGGGGGGAAGGACAACAAAATACACGAAACAAGAATGTCCCAGTGATGTAGCTGCTCAGCCAGAGCTCTCAATGCTCTCACACACGGGCATCGTCTTTGTACTGTTCGCCTTTTGACGTTCTCTGGTCTGCACCCGGATGAGACCAGGCCAAATAGAAGGCCGTCTCTGGTGTAGGCCAATCCGTTTCAAAGACAATGCAAATATTATCAGAGCATGTATTGTTTTCATGATCACAAGTAGTTGTGGTTTAGCGCAGGCTTAACTCCTTGCAAAAGGTGTTTGAACATCTTAACATCGCTCTCCGTGGTGCTACCGTTAAAAAAAAACCCGCCACTTTTTCAAATTTTCTCGCTGTGGTTTTCACATCTGATGTTAAGTGCTTGTGTTGCAGTCGAAACGTCGTGAGAATTGTATTGTTTTAAATTTTTATTATTTTATTGTTTCCCTTCTACGTGACTTTACCGAAAGAACCAAGAATATGAATCCCTGCAGTCACGAAAGCTTTAAATCAAAATCTTAACATGTTTTATTGCCAGAAAGGGGTAAAACCTATTCTTATTTTTCATTCTAAGAAGCAGTTCTAAAAAAATGAGTTGTACACCAAGTGCACGTGACACTCGCATTGCGGACACTTAAGCACAAATGTCTACGATTGAATGTACACACATTGACATATTTTATATCGATGAATTGGTGACTAGCGGCATGGTAGGGGGGGGGGGAAGTGAAAATTTCACTTTGGCCACAGACGCCATTGCAATTTCGCATCAATAATAATTGAAAGGAATTCAAAGATCCCGGTTAAAAGGACCATCGTGGAAATAATCGTAAACCTTAAATTATCCACGGCGAACGATTAAATGTATCGTGTCCCGTTTTGCGAAGGTCATGGCCAATGCGGTAGGTGTCATCACACCGTCGTTCAACTCTTCAACTTCAAGGTTTAGTCGACACAAAAAAAAATCCAAAGCAGCAAAAATGTATATTGTGTCATCATACCAACATGTTGTTTTAGTTGCGAACCCGGACTAAAACGTCACCGTTACCAACTCGGGGGTCCAAGTCTGACCACACGGTGCAGTCGTAACCCACAGCTTTATAACAAAGGCCAAAAGCACGGATATCTAAACCGAATATGACAAACCATTCCCGCGGGTGTTAATATCCATCGTCATTCTTGCAATGCCCCGATGCGAAACGATCCTCCCGATAGCGTGCCAGAAGCCCGCATTTAAGTACGAACACTGTCGCACCATAACAAAGACAACATGTAAATGCACTGCGGAGAGTTTCACAAAGAATATTACACGGAACCAAGTGTAAGGAGCCCCTGCTGTGGTGCCATTTGCAGAATAAAATAAATGCATAAAACGAGCTGTAAATTTGAAACGCCGGCTTTCCAGGCGAATCTATTTCATATTTTCAGCTCGGATCGCCGCATAAGTAGAATGCGTGTCGTACGCCCTCCTCCACCCGACACGGCCAATATATAAAGTTGCCACACGTGTACAAATATGCCAATTTAATAAATTGATCCAACCCAAAAATCTGACAAACGAGCTGTGATTTAATAAAATTTCTTAAAATAAATTGCACATGTACATTGTGTAAAGTGAACTATTGTAAAACACCTCTCAAAAAATAAAAGACAAAGCAAACTTGCCATGTCGAATAGAGCTGGGAGTCTCAGAAACACGTTGTCTGCGATGCGGTTTATATACGAATCCTCATGGATACGATCTCGAATTGAATCGTGGGATTGGCTGAATCGTGAATTCCTTCAAACGGGCACCTCCAGGAATTGGCCTCGGGTGGAATCCTTGGATTCCAATACCATTCCGGCAGGAATATTTCCCAGCTCCAGTGGCAACACATTTGTTCCCGAATAATTGCTAATGTGTTTTCACATTAAACTGTACACCACTTTCTGAAATTATTCGGTGTCAAATTTAAGTAGCAAAAATAGTTTCGTATACTTATATAAATCCAGACAAACTATTAGACAACTGAGTATTATCATCCATTCGTAATGCATTTCTGTCAGGAGATCACGATATAAAAAGTATAATCTAAGACGTTTATATTACGCCTTTTTACAGTCTCAATGAAAAATGTAAATTGTGAAAATTTAGAAATACTATATTTTCAAGGGCAGATCCTTGTACGTAAAGGTTAACAATATTCCACATTCTCTCCAGAACAGTTCCAAATATTGAGTTAAACTTACACCTTGAAGAAAGGGCCAAACACATTTTTTTTTATGATTTTTCCATTGGTAACGATCGAGTCATGGGCAAATGTTTGTTGCGAGTATATCACATTCTGGCCATGCACTGTGCCATTGATTTCCACACGATCTTCTCATTGTTGATTTTCTGCCCACTGCCACCACAGTCTTTCATCTTGCTGGTCAAAACTTTGAGCTTGGAACCTCTGCTGGTGAAACGGTATTGGCGGCTGCATTTGCCAGAATGGCTGATAATTAAAACTCTGGCTGTAATTTTGCACATATCCTCCTTCAGGATGGTGAAAGTAGTCCTGTTGATAACCTCCCACTGCTGGCGTTTGAGACCACCAATCCATGCGTGTGTCTTGTGGTGGCATTTGGTGAAATCTGCGACTCGGAGGTCGTTGGTAGACTCTTGCTCTTTGGTCATTTCTGTGGTCCAATCTTGTTAGGGTCTTCCGAGAGGCCGTTTTCTCTTGACCACTATGAGAGGGGTGGAAAACGCTGGAAGAGGCTTGCGCAGGACACGAAGCTGCACTCGAGTGCCTTCAACCATAAAGACAAAGCAATAGCTTAATAACATCATCATCTTTCTTTCTTTCAACATTAGACTAAGCTCAGTACCACCTAAAGTAATTGTGCGCCAAGAGGGTATAGAAATGTTTATGTAAAAAAAACATATCGATCTGAAATCGGTACAGTAAATCATTGATATTGCCGGCGGATACGTTCCTGGAGAACGGTGCGGATATTAATACTTCAAGTTCATCAGGAAAATAGAGTTAGGGGGCATAAACATGAACGTATAATATCATTGTGTTATTAAACTCACCTTTAATAATGACGAACATAAACCTACCTAAAAGTGCAAATATCAAATGAGCAAGTGAACATTACAGAGTACGTAATAAACAAAAAAGATGTGTCAAGGGAAAGCACCCGCGTGTAAACGTTGTGCGGCAGAGACAAGCGGCAGACCGAGAGGGGGGGGGGGGAGAGGAGGCATGGGGGGGCGAGTCGCGCTCTCACGGTACGCGCCGCTCCTACGCCTCGCCACTTTCTCGTCCGCTAGTTAACGCGCTACGGCCGCGAACGTTTAAAAGGTACAACCCCAGACGATGAAAAAAAAAACTATCACACTAAAAGTATCGTCGATACGCTAACAAAAAAAACCGGGGAATATTAAGGCTTTACTGTATTGCAAAACATTCGGGGGAAATGAGGTAAGACCTCATGGGACAAAGGTGGGTAAGAGACGATTGCTACATGTTCGCATGCACAGATGGCTGACGAGGGATGATTTGAGAGCCGACCGTATTGCAATAATCACATGGAAAGATAAAGAAACTCAACTCTTACCTTGCATAATCCCTCGTTTTCAAATCTTTGAGGTAATTTTCCCTCTCAATCGAATGACCTCGAGCACTGTTAAAGGCTGACAACCACACGCAACACTTTTATTACGATGTAAGTACAGCTGTGTGGTAATGAGCATTAGCTGTGATCTTTCAATAAAACATTTTTACAGGGATGACAAAGTTAACATTCCTTTCACTTAGCGCCACTCTTCTTGGGGGCCCATGTGTCGCGTTCAATTACCTACAATTCTATGGTAACACATGGACAACAGTGGACTTTTGTTTTCACCCAGTGTAATCAAGGGCAACACTGTCAAAGCCATTGGGGAATTTGTCTACCTGGGATCCGCACAGGACACCGATGGACAAAGTAGACCTTATGTAGTGCACCGAATTGGCCTGGCCTCAGAAATCATGAACGGCCGGAACCGCATTCGGTCCCAAACAAGTCTGGGAACCAAACCGAGTGTCCACCAGTGCTGAGTGTTTTGTCAGTTTCGTTGTATGGTGCGGAGGCCTGGACAATGCTTCAAGCTGATTTGCCGGAAAGGGTAAAACCCTATTCCTAGATTTTGATACGGACAAGGGAGGTCTCCCCGTGATGGAGCTGCTCACCCTGAGCTCTCAATGCCCTGACGGTGGCGTTGTCTTTGTGCCGTTTTCCTTTTGTCGTCCTCTGGTCTAACATTGTTAGTGAGACTAGGCTCTAAACCAGGGGTGGGGAACGTCCGGCCCGCAAAATCATTCGGTGTGGCCCTGCCAAGGTAACCGCAGGTGGGACTCGAAATTCAACAAATCTAGGAGCAAACCTGGAAAAGCAGTTGCGAGTAGCAACAACATCGTCAATACCGGCTAACATCATCACACGCCTCGCGAAAAGAGAAGCAGTTCCAGCCATCACATTAGGGGTGAGTTCATTCAATGTTTGACCAAATATAACGGGATAATTTTTAAGTTGATAATTTTGTATGGGCCGCGAATGATGTTATATAAATATCCAAATGGCCCTTGGCAGAAAAAGGGTTCCCCACCTCTGCTCCAAAGGAAGCTGTCTCCGGTGTGGACCAATCCGTTTCAAAGACAAGGGATATATTACCAGCGAATGTTTTATGCGTGCATGTTCACCACAAGTATATGTGGTGAATGCATACATGATTCCTTGCAAAAGATTCCTGGTTGGTGTTTTAACATCTTAACATTTGTTTTAATGCCAGAAAGGGTAAAACCTATTGTTATATTATGAGTTCGGATCGGTTGCAGTCCATCCACACGCAATGCCAGAGATGCCTTCTCGGCGTCTGACGGTTCGACTGTGTCAGAAATGTCACCATTTCATCTACGACCGGTCCTTCTGGCGATTAAGTGAGCTCAGTTCGGGGGAGGAGATGGCTGTCACTGTGGATTCCGTCGCCCCGTCTTGATGCGCAAACTCTAGTAAATTGTTCACTTCAGTTGGCGGTCGACGTGAACCGTGACCCTTTAAACAATGGCGCTACCCCTCCCGTGGTCGCCCCCATGAGACGTGGATCAAACAAATAACTCGAGACACCGGTTGCAGGATGGCAACAAAAGCTGTTTTTTTTGCGGGCGCTGCCGCAAGAGGTGACACGTTTGACGAAACGGCCCCTCGCCAAACTACGCGCGCGATGATCGGCTGCGATTATTTGTGGACTTAAACACATTAAACATCTTCGTTTGTGCGGACATACGCACCTTGTATCGCTTCGTCTGGCTCCATTTTTTCACAATCGATAAGATACCTGTTAACACACAGAACGTACAGGTGCGGATATAACATATCCCTTGATATTCTTCGCATCATGCTTAGGCATTAATGATGAACTTTAATCATTTGAAGGTTGAATGGCTTCATCTTTCCTTAATCCAGTTCCAATGAACAGTGGAGAGGACTTCTCCCCCAGTAAGATGTAATGGCTTCTCCCACCAGAGATCTTTTTAATGGTGTCACCTTTATACCTCTAATGACTAATTATCCTAACAATAATCATACGAATTAAATCTAACCAAGGGGCTGAATTAAAGCATCCCAGCTAATAAATACATCACTTCTTTTCGATTTAAAGCTTTCGTGACTATCTCCATATAATTTATAAATACATTTTATACCATCAATATAACGGTCTTCCAGGTTGATGTTAAGCAAACATTTGCATAAACGTGACAATTTCTGGACCAGTGTCTTTTATAATTACTTACAAATAAATGTGAGAAGACAGTTAAAGAAAATGTGCAACTGAACTTACCGACACACCAGGTACCCAGTTCTGTTCACTCCATGAGTACAATGCACGCCTATCAGCTTGTCTGAAACATAAAATGCCACCTGTCAGCAATCTGCCCTACGAGAAGCTCACAATCACATGGCGAGAACGATCGTTTAGAGTCTCGCACTGCCTTAATGCGATTAAACTCTTGATAAAGCTAACTACCACGCATTTAAACCCCCTGGTTCCGTGTGTCTCTCTATTTATTTTATTGAAAGATAAGTATTCATCAGTTTTTTTTCTTCCAATCTCTCTCTCGCATGTGCATCTCACCATTGCCCCTTAGCCATCTGCATTTCTTTCATGTGGAACAGGTTCTCTTATAGTAGCCGTCCTCGGTGACCGGAACAAAACCACCTGTAATTATACTACTGTTGATTTCATGAGAGAGGTCTGTCATTCCACTTTCAGATTTGGAAAAAACAATATACCGATTAACTAGCAGAACGATAATGATGATGAGGATGCACACACAATGGTATTACTCCGCTCGTGGCTGTGGTGGAAAAAACTAAAAGCTGCAGCAATTGCTGTTTTTGTTCGTCAAGAGCAGCGGTCCCCAACCTTTTTGGCACCAGGGACCGGTTTCATAAGGAAGACAATTTTTTCACGCACCGCGGGGGGGTTCATCATCGGGTCTTTCCCCCGTTTCAAATAAGCTCTCCAGCGACGTTTGTTTTTGACTCATTTTGGCTACTAGGGGTTAGCTTGTGGGCTTACTCATTGTGGCTGGTAGGGCTTAGCTTGTGGGCTTACTCATTGTGGCTACTAGGGGTTAGCTTGTGGGCTTACTCACTGTGGCTACTAGGGGTTAGCAGCTTGTGGGCTTACTCACTGTGGCTACTAGGGGTTAGCTTGTGGGCTTACTCATTGTGGCTACTAGGGGTTAGAGCTTGTGGGCTTACTCATTGTGGCTACTAGGGGTTAGCTTGTGGGCTTACTCATTGTGGCTACTAGGGGTCAGCTTGTGGGCTTACAAAAACCGTGACTGAGACAAGTGCGCAGTGCGGGAAAGAGGCGCGGACGGTATTGGTAAATAATAAAATAATGGGGCAGGAAACGCACAGACTCACCGCTCTCACCTCTTCCTGCTGCTGTGCGGCCTGGTTCCTAACAGGCCACGGACCGGCCCGGGGGTTAGGGACCCCTGGTCTATATGTATTATTTGTTAGTCAATAGTATAATTTGTTAGTCAATAGTATTATTTGTTAGTTAATAGTATAATTTGTTAGTCAACAGTATTATTTGTTAGTCTACAGTATTATTTGTTAGTCTATATGTATTATTTGTTAGTCAATGTATTATTTGTTAGTCAATAGTATTATTTGTTAGTCTATATGTATGATTTGTTAGTTAATAGTATTATTTGTTAGTCTATATGTATGATTTGTTAGTCAATAGTATTATTTGTTAGTCAATAGTATTATTTGTTAGTCTATATGTATTGTTAGTCAATAGTATTATTTGTTAGTCTATGTGTATTATTTGTTAGTCAATAATATTATTTGTTAGTCAATATGTATTATTTGTTAGTCAATAGTATTATTTGTTAGTCTATATGTATTGTTAGTCAATAGTATTATGTTAGTCTATAGTATTATGTTAGTCTATAGTATTATTTGTTAGTCTATAGTATTATTTGTTAGTCAATAGTATTATTTCAAGGAAGCAGCAACTGAATCTCATTCTCTGATCTCGATATTTCATGGTGCAATTTCCACCTTGTCTTTTCCATTTCTATCCCCACCTGCCCAAGTCACTCCCCTCTCTTCATCATTCCTTGCCATCCCCCACCTCCCCCCTCCATCAATCAACTCATTCTTTGTTCCCTTATTCCCATCTCTCACCCCCTTCGCCTTCTCGTCTCCCACTTGCCTGCGTTCCATTCCCTTCCCAATTGCCCACCTTCTCTCTTCAAACTACTCATCCCATCCACTTGCAACTGTCAATTGTTCACCTCAAACACCTCTCTCTCTCGCCTCTGTCCATTCGCCTCTCACGACTCTCGTGCACGTTTCACGTTTACAACGCTTAACGTCGCTTCTTCTTAACCAAGGGTGAACGCTTGATGTAAAATGTTGAAACCTCATGACAACGAAAACGTATTGCAAGCAAGTGTTCGTCACCCACCGTTTTCGCCGTTTTCTCCAATGAAGGTCTTGATGGTCTCTTTAAAATGGGCGATGGTTTTGTCATTCGGCACCTCGTGGCCCATCGTGAATATTTTCTCATACTTAATGCCCGCTTTTGTCAGTTCCTAAATAAAAAAAAGACAAATTGCTAAGCTCAGTATTTCAGTGATCACAAAGTAGATTTACATAATGTTATATTTTACAATTCAACAAGTTGGAAAATAAAAATGAGCATATGCAGAAGCTGGTCGACACATAACATGATTCCTGCTGAAATATAACTTACATTTCAAACAACTCTACAACGTGTTAAATTGAGATTTTCATGAGCTTTGGAATTAGATTTTTATTTTTTTTAAACTACTGACAGTAACCAAAGGTCCTTGGAAACAAAGCCACAAAACATCTAAAGGACCTCCTAACACCACAAATTCCCAGCCACAACCTCAGAAGTGTTTCCGCCCTGTTTTTACTAAAATTATCACTCAGAATACACAGCTAAGCTGATGCACTTGGAGCCAACCTGTTTCTTGTTTTCACATTCCCGTGATGGTTGTGTTTTATTCTCTCGATCATGTTTGCTTCATCACCAAGTGCTCATCTCCTCTCCAACCGCTCATTACCCCGTTCTTATTTTCGGTACAACATGCCTCTATTTTGTACATACAGTATTCCCTCGTTATTAACGAACTTGCTATCCGCGATTCTGTCCGTTTGCGAATTGCATCTAGAACTCTACACGACTGCATTGAGAGAATGTGATGCAAAAAAAAGATACAATGATGAGAAAGTGATGAGATAGAGAGATGAGCGAGATAAAGAGGGAACTTCTCAAAGCTTTAGAAGCATCTGCAGATGTTGTGCGTACGATATTCGTGGGCCAATATCATTATCCGCGAAATTTGCTATTCACGAGCATCTCCGGAACGTATCCCTCGTGAATAACAAGGGAATGCTATTGTTAATTTTGTTCTTTAAGCAATATTTTTGCCTATAACTCCAATGCGTTCTGCTCTCTTTGTTGCCTGTTCTTCCCTACGTATCATTTTCAAGTTGTACTCATTCTGTGCTGATGCACCACGGACCTCCCTTGCAAATTAGCTGGGAAACGGTTAAATGGGACTTCCATGTAATAAATAAGCATTGAATGAAACATTACGCAAGGCAGTGTTTACACTTTCAATAATGCATTATGATAGCAGAACCATACAATGTACTTCAGTGGGAGACCATACGACTGGAACAACTTCCAGCCTATTTTATATGCCTAGAACGTCATTGCAAGTTCCAAACATTTATTGGATAGAGCGGTTCAAAGCGGTATGGTGAATTAGATCATTATGGGTTCATGCTCCTGTCTTATTCATCCTTTGTAATTTCCAAAATTGCACTTCTGAGAGCCATTCAAGTCAATGATACAACATCGGTGTTGACAAAAGCAGCGATTTTTAGAATTGCTGGCGAAGATAAGGAGCCCACGTAACCCCCAGTACCAAAGAAACAAGCACATTCTGTGCTTCAGCAAGGCCACAATACTTACCTTTGGATCATAGTAGCGTGTGGTGTTTGTAAGGTCAATAACCAATCCGAGGCTTTCGTTTTGCCTTGATATGTTCTCCAGCAGTCCTAATGGGCTCATCTGAGTCACCTCTGCTTCAAGATGATCCAAGATGGCCTGACATTACACAGCAAAGTTACACACCAATTAAACGATGGTATTACGCCCACGACTGCGCTACACTATTACAGCACTGCGCCTAATATCGGTGGACAACGTGGCCACTCAGGTCCCTCTCTTTCACTACAGCGGATAGGTATAAGACATGACAAGGAATACATTGCTGGGTGGGAAAAATGGTCTGTTTTATCAGGATTTTCTGCCTGATTCAAGCAGCCCGTCTAATGGCCAGTTTGGCTTAATAACTGTCCCCATTCACCAAGCAGCAGTTTCTGTACAGCCAAATCCGTACACAAAAATGCACGCATTCTGCCACTACTCAGATGGTGGTGGCGCACATCTTTAAAATATAGATAACGTAGTTCCTGTTGTGGATTCCCCAAAAGCTGTTGGTATGTTTCTGGAAGCTGTGTCATACAGGAAATTATTTTTAAATGTGCAGCATTTTTATAGAATGTGTGGGTCTGCAACAGGAAACTTGCATCATCTTATGACTTATCGGTGACCTGACATTGCACGTAAGATAGTTGTAAACAAGTGGATTTTTTTTATTTATCATAACTCGACTTATCGACCAATTTTACCTTTCTGAAATGCAACCCCGAAAACAAATGTATTGTAAATTAATGGTTAAGTTTGCATTCCAGCATCATTTACAAACTCAAACAAATGTTCTTTTGTAGCGTGTGTCATCTTAGCTGGGCGGTGATGGCTCAGCACGCCCGTAATCCATAACCGTGAAAAGCAAGGGTTGGTGGATCGCGCAAATGTTGCAAAACTCTCTTCCCTTGGGCATTAAGGCTTGCCAGGAGAAGGCAGGAGAGCAAAGTGAGGACTAATATTATCTGTCCATTCTGCACGGGAAAGTATTACCCCCTTTCAAATGTGGGTTTTCTCCGAGTGCTCCGGTTCCTTGCTATATGTGAAAGGGAGTTGACACAAGTCATCCTGGAAAGGGAACTTCATGGTTCTGTCAGCATCAGCACAAACACTTGTAGGGCAGTAGGTGACTGTCAGCCTCTCTTCCCCCAAAGCACCCAAGCCTTCACCCTACAGAACGTTAACTCCCCTCTCCCCTCTTTCCTTCTTTCGTGCCAATATGTATCCTTTAGGTTTTCTCCACAATCCTCCATCTCCGTTTGTGCATCTTTCTTCCAGGCGCCTTCCTTTTATTATTTTCCGCGGGTGTGATTCCCGTTTCCCCTGCATGACCCCTACATTTAACCTCATCGTGCTGTCTTCCCACTTATTTAACCTAAACATTACATTACTTGTAGCACAAATGCAGCGCTTGATCGGCGTTAGCGTGGGGCCAATGATGGTGGAAGGTTTCCACAGATAGCTGGAACCTTCTCATCATTGTGCAGACTCTGAACAATTGTGCTTTTGGGGTGTGGGTTGCGTGGAGGAGCCCGGAGGGCATGGTGCTCCACTCTATGCCAATTCATGAGCCTATTGGCTCCTTCCATCCTGCAGCATTTTATCTATTCCAAATTATGACCAGAAATTAAATGTTTAACACATCGGCTTTCGTGACCAATATTATCCATAATATAAATTGCTCGTTAAACCCTGCTGTAGCCTGATGAAGCTAGCTGTAATTACTGGCGAAACGTCGTACTCAGATTGTAAATGTTGTGGATTTGCTCTCCAACACACTGGTGTACTGTACTAGTAACGGATTGGCACGTTCTGTTTACGTGACAAACTAGTTGGCTGTGTCGGGTGGTGGCGGGTTTAACGACACATTTATATTTATGCAATCTAACCCAAAAATACCTATATGATGACTGAATTCTAATGCCAGAATTGTGAAAAACGTGAAAAACTGTACATTAATTGGGTCATATTCTTAGTTCTTTCGGTAAAGTAACGTTGAAGGGAAACAACAAAATAATAAAATATATATAAAAATAAAAATTCTCACGGCGTTTCGACCATAACACAAACGGTCGTCATCAGGTGTGTCGGTTTGCATTCATTTATTTATTTTTAAACGGTGTATTTATGTATAAAAAAACGTCAGCGCCACGCGCAGCGATTTGGCAGTTTATTTAGAAGGACTAGTCCATCTATGTTCTGAAAAGAGGAGGGGGGAGACGAAAAATTAATGTATGCTATTTGAAAGCCACTGTAAGCGTGAACAATCAATTAAGACCTGAAATGGTTTATCAAATCTTTCCAATGATTGCTAAGCCAGAATCCATCTTCTCGGTTTAAATTGTCTCTGTGCTTGTATATGTGGATAGCCTCATGAACGAATCTCTCATGGTAGCCAGATGGCTTACAAAGAACCTCTGTCTTGGAAAAGTCAATGGCATGTGAGCCTACCGAATTATAACAATGATCTGCCACGGCCGAGGTGTTGGTCCTACCGTGTTTAAGGTCTGCTTTGTGTTCACGAATGCGGTCCGAGACATGGCGTTTGGTTTCTCCAGTGTAAATAGAGGCAACTTAGTTTGTAGACGCCAGGGTACTGTATGTCCGGAATCACATCTTTTACAGACGGAACCAGATCACGGATTTTATGTAATGTGTTGAAACGGACCTGGATCTTGTGTTTTATATATATTTTATTATTTTATTGTTTCCCTTCAACGTGACTTTACCGAAAGAGCTAAGAATATGAATTACTGCAGTCACGAAAGCTTTAAATCAAAAATTAATTGGGTCCTTTGTTTATCAACACAGGGTAAAATGAGCCAATAAATTACAACTATTCTTGAAGATGTTCACTAAATGCAATTAAGAGCTTTTCGACATGTTTTTGCATTCTCTCAAAATATAAGTTTTGCCCAAGCTGTGAAGAAACATCTTGTTAAATTGCCGAGATTATTTTCAGCAATTTCCCACCAAGCCCAGGGTACTCAACTGGGACTAATAAATTAGGAGTAAAGAGGGGGGGGGGTGATGATGATGGTGTTATTATACTGGGCCAGTTCTGTAATTGCCTGCAGTCGGGGGTGGCACTGATCATTTAGTTTTCTTGGATGCAGGTCTGTGGCAAATTTGATTGCTAAATCTTGGGACACAAAATCAAGACACAATCACACACGTGGAAATGCAATCATCATAATTCAAAACGTCCAGCACTTGCCTGTCTCAGAGGCACTTTAAATGAGATGAAGCGAGTTCCTTTAACCCTTTTTCCTACAGGAACATAATTCTCCCACCTGATGGGACAAAATTGTAAAACAAACGGATGTAACATGAAAACAAACACTATAACATGTACTTTGTTTTACATATTAGACCAACAGAAACAAAAGGAAGAAAGGCATGCCGTGCCTCCAAAACCACAAGTCATAGACGAAAAACATTTGCCGCCTTTGACTTGTGCAATTAGTGTGGCAATGCGAATAAAAACAGTGCGCGTGTAACATCACATATACCGTATTCTTCTGACTATAAGACAAACTTTTTATAATGTAATTTCAAATAAAAGTTGAGAGTGCGTCCTTATAATGCGGTACGTAGCCTTAACCGCCATCACTTGTGTGACCATATTCGTATAACTTCATTGGCAACGGGTATAGTTCACAAGGTTACTGCCATGATAAAGCCAATTCCATCAATGCCGAATTCCTAGGATTATAAGACGTTGTTTTTAGAACTTTTGCTCGACATTCTATAACGTTACGTTTTCCACCCTTCTTCTCTGGGATATATTTGGATAAATCACACGTGTATTGTTTTATTATCATGGGCATATGCCAGTGAAAATAGCTAAACCTTGTGTGATAGCAACAGCTGCAGTAAAGGTAATTTAACTACAAAAAAGCCTTACAAGTCCATCTTATATGTAATGGCACTTGTGATAGAATTTGCCATTTTATCATATATCAAGATAAACGGAGTCTTGCGATCATATTTCAACAAGCTACAAAATTGGATGTTTTCAACACACTCATGCGTCACGCCCACTCTACCACGCAAACGTACAGCGAGCTCAGCTCTAAGTACAGTAAAACCTTGGATTGCGAGTAACTTGGTCTGCGAGTGTTTTGCAAGACGAGCAAATTTTTTAAATAAATATTAATTTAATAAACGAGCGAGGGTCTTAGCAATACGAGCAGCGCACGTACACTCTTTGTCTGCCGAGCGTCACGTGATCACAACTGATAAACGAGCGCTTTGGATTACAAACACGTTTCCGGAACGAATCATGCTCGCAATCCAAGGTTTCACTGTACGTAACAATATGGCAACAGCACCATTAATTTTAAATGACGTTAAAGGACAGAGAACGTAAACACAACGTACACCTGACTGCCCGTGCCACCGATCGGCCGCTCTCATGCACTGACCAAGTGCGAGGGCTGTGTGAGAGGGTCTCACCGATCTGGGACGGCGTTCTTCTTGCCCATGGCGTGGCTTCTACTCAATCCGCGGTGCAAGGCGATCCCACCACGGATCATTTGCTCCGGTCTGTGGGTGAGATAACAGCACAGTAATGTGTTATTATGTATACAGACAGCTGTTTAAGAGTATTTGGCTGCTATACGTGTCGACATGATAAGCCACTGAGTTGAGCTATCATTTGTGGCCAGGACACATCTGAAAGAGCTTAATAGCTCAGTGGGCCGTACCTGATGAAATAAAACAAGTTTAATAGTTTTCAAGGTGACCAGAGGTTGCATCATAATTAAGGCTACGATTTTGGCATGTCCGGGGGTATTTGCTATCCTCTTACATGCTTCTTCTTTCATACGGCTGATGTAGCTGCAGAGCAACAACTACAATTTCACATTCAGGTGGTCAAACCAGATAACCGTGGATCGGGCATTACATCGTCTCTTCCAAGCTGACCAAACGTCTCGGAGGTGGGAGTTTCTCACACTTTAATCCCACCACACGCAAGCTGCCGATTGACCGCGGTATAACCCATTTATACTCCGGGGTGGACAGAGAAAATGGGGGCTGGGCGATTGAGTATTTTTTTTCCCATTGTTTCAACTGCTGAGCAGAGAGATTGAGTTGGACCGGTAAGCTCTGGACGGCAAATACAGTGTGCGAAATATTAAACCGAGGCAGTTGCATTTGTTTGCGAGTTTAAACACGTACATTGGAACGTATTGGCCGTACACCGGTGGTGGTACGCGGTATAAAACATTAAGCATATTTTTTGGCAATTATTTATTTCCCCGCGATTGGCAACCCCGGTCAGAAAATCCTGCAGGGTGGTGGTGGTACATCAAAATCAATCTAGATTTGAAGCTTTCGTGACTCTAGGAATACATATTATTTGGTTCTTTCGGTAAAGTCACGTAGGTAGAAAAATAAAATAGATCACGACGTTTCGGGCGCAACGTCGTGATTTATTGTATACCTACGTGACTTTACCGAAGGACATCAAAATCAGTTGATGTTATGTCGAAGCGGTGTTTGAGCGGCTGAACGCGAAGAGGCTTCACAGCCTGTTGCCGTATAGCAGCACCCAGCCTGGTGACGATTGACAGCCCCATGCTCCAAAGGCAGATTTAACTCCTCGTTGCCCGAGACTTAGTCGGACGGTTCCTCGATTCATTTCCGGCATAATTTCTTGGCAGACGGTGGCAAAAAAATGATTACGCAACTCGTGTTGTCACCGCACGTTCGAATGGGAAAGCAGCTGCTGAATCTGAGTGCAACTTCTAATGGGAGAGTCTGCAGCTCACTCGAGGGTAACAGCGACATCGTCAGTTCGGGCCTCATCTTTACCTGGTGGTGGTGGTCTACAGCAGCAGCATCCTGTGCCCCGGACCAAAATCAATGGTCAATATTGACCTTTATTTTAGCTTCAGTAGACTGAATAAACCTTGGAATAGCGTCAAATTTGGCGGCAGGGTCAATTAAATAATTATAAAGAGATTTATCGATATAAATTTTTATTTCAGACTTCTGTTATGGTGCACCCGTGTACCGTCGAGACGCCCATTTGTTGTTGTTGCGAGACATTTTTCCATGCCGGGTAAACCGGTAATATTTTGTATTCCAACACGGTTACCGGTAATGCAAAAATATATATTTTAACAACCCTGCTATGAACACAAATGGCAGAGTTCCACTCTCGCCACGGCAAACATCAGCGGCGAGTAGAAACCTTAACTGGTCCTGGGCGACCTCCTTTACCAACTCGCACTCATCGAGTTTTGGTGAACCAGATGAACGATACGATATGAGGAACCCTCATCCAGCAGTGGATTGGCAAAGGGCTGTGTTTACATTATTATAGTATTATTATATACAGTATGAGCACTATTGCATCTCGTATACATAAGTGTGAAGGTGTGCTGTATAACTACACACGCTCAACACGAGTCAGCTATCAACATAAGCCATTGTCTATCCACTGCTGGTCAGAAGCTCTATCAACATAAGCCATTGTCTATCCACTGCTGGTCAGAAGCTCTATCAACATAAGCCATTGTCTATCCACTGCTGGTCAGAAGCTCTATCAACATAAGCCATTGTCTATCCACTGCTGGTCAGAAGCTCTATCAACATAAGCCATTGTCTATCCACTGCTGGTCAGAAGCTCTATCAACATAAGCCATTGTCTATCCACTGCTGGTCAGAAGCTCTATCAACATAAGCCATTGTCCATCCACTGCTGGTCAGAAGCTCTATCAACATGAGCCATTGTCTATCCACTGCTAGATCAATGGCATATCTCTTCTCACCAATCCCCTCACGGTCCAGTGCTGCTACCATTAACCTCCATGAACTTTATGCAACCCGAGTCGCTCTTGCTGCGCAAAGAGGCAACGTTGTTCCATGCGTCTCTGGCAGGGATGAGGAGGGGCTCTTCTCACCGCATGGTTCATTAAAAATGCTCAAGCAACGGGACTCCCTCCGTCGTCAGCGACCTCGCCGAGTTAAATTACGTTTAGTCCTCCGGTCACCACAATGTCACGCGTTAATCCCTGTCAACTGCGGGCTACAGCACATGTCATGAAGACATCGACTGCGGCCGCACGGCGTCCTTTAAACGCACCGTATTCTACACAGAGCGCGCGGCCTACCCGCTCGTTGTTTAGAATGGCACCGCGGGTAGGCCGCGCGCAGCCTGCGACTTGCCTGCTCGCCCCCTGCCGAGGGGAGTGCGACGACCTGGCGCTCTCGTCCCACGGACTCGCCCGCGAGCTCCCGCGCTGCTCGCTCGCGTCGTACGAGGAGTCTTCGTGTTGCTTGGTGTCAGCGAGCAGTGGCATCGGTGAGCGTGCGTGTGCTGCTTTGTCTATGGAGGGGCGCGCACGCCGAGTGAACTCACGCCGAGCAGAGCTTCCTGGGTGGTGACGTCGCGAAATCGATTCGTCACGCGCACCACCGCGACGATTACGGAAAGCGATTCTGAAAAATTCCCGTAATCGATTCCGATAGTTCCGGATTCGATTCCCAAAGTCCGTAATCGATTTAGAAAGTGTGGGATCGATACCGCGCGGCACGTGGAGTCGAAACTTGCTGGTCATGCATAGTGTGTAGCATTGCGTATCATGAATACATGTAAATTGTGGATGTAAATTACGCATGCACGATTTGCAGGTATATTATGTATGCGCATTCTTTATGCACATTTTTTGTGTATATTATGAATGCACATTAAGTTTCAAGTTTCATTAGGTAGAGCCGTGTGAGCCATGCGGCTGTTAAGTCGGGTGCAACCACAACAAACTAAATTTGAACACAGAACATCTTAAAGCGACGACGCGTAACAGGAACATCCTGGAATGAACCGGCAAATATTCCATTGCATATGCACTTTATGCGCGAAAACATTTTTTTTAACGTACATTGTGCACGTAGATTTTGTGTGCACATGTTAGTATGTTCATTGTGTGCGCACATTATGTATGTGTAGTGATACAGCGCCGACTGCTGTCCAGCAGCGGCAACTGCGGTGGACAGCGCACACGCTGCCGTCCAGCACATACACGGTGTGTGTGTGTGCCGGCAGGGCGGAGGAACTGGGGCAAGGGACACGGAAGGCCTCATCGGGAGGCCCCTGGGACCCTCTGGTGGGTTCTAGAAGGGAGGCGCGGCCAGGGCGGAGCCAGGCCGCGTCGAGTAGAATAAAAGCAGCGGAGAGCGAGAGCTCAGGGCTGCCGGTTCTGGGAGTGGACTCGTCTCGTTGCCGCCTTCGCCCGATCATTAGCGCGGCCGCACAGTTGTTGGCCGTCTCGGTCGACGCCGTCGGTGCAACGCGGACAGGGTCGTGTCTAGGCCGGGCTGTACGGCAACGTGGTCGTGAGAGTGGAGGCGATCCGTGTGAGTGTGAACCGCCGGAGTGGTGTAACGGAATAAAAGAGAAGGCGCCTCCTGCAGCTACGTCGTCTCCGACTTGTGCTACACTACATCTACACTACATCTACACTACATCGACACTACATCTACACTACATCTACACTACATCTACACCACATCTACACTACATCTACACCACATCTACACTACATCTACACTACATCTACACTACATCTACACTACATCTACACCACATCTACACCACATCTACACCACATCTACACTACATCTACACCACATCTACACTACATCTACACCACATCTACACCACATCTACACTACACCTACACTACATCTACACCACATCTACACCACATCTACACTACATCTACACCACATCTACACTACATCTACACCACATCTACACCACATCTACACTACATCTACACTACATCTACACCACATCTACACCACATCTACACTACATCTACACCACATCTACACCACATCTACACTACATCGACACCACATCTACACCACATCTACACTACATCTACACCACATCTACACTACATCTACACTACATCTACACCACATCTACACCACATCTACACCACATCTACACTACATCTACACTACATCTACACTACATCTACACTACATCTACACCACATCTACACCACATCTACACCACATCTACACTACATCTACACCACATCTACACTACATCTACACCACATCTACACCACATCTACACTACACCTACACTACATCTACACCACATCTACACCACATCTACACTACATCTACACCACATCTACACTACATCTACACCACATCTACACCACATCTACACTACATCTACACTACATCTACACCACATCTACACCACATCTACACTACATCTACACCACATCTACACCACATCTACACTACATCGACACCACATCTACACCACATCTACACTACATCTACACCACATCTACACCACATCTACACTACACCTACACTACATCTACACCACATCTACACCACATCTACACTACATCTACACCACATCTACACTACATCTACACCACATCTACACCACATCTACACTACATCTACACCACATCTACACTACATCTACACCACATCTACACTACATCTACACCACATCTACACTACATCTACACCACATCTACACTACATCTACACCACATCTACACTACATCTACACCACATCTACACTACATCTACACTACATCTACACCACATCTACACCACATCTACACCACATCTACACTATATCTACACTACATCTACACCACATCTACACTACATCTACACCACATCTACACTACATCTACACCACATCTACACTACATCTACACTACATCTACACTACATCTACACTACATCTAAACACTACATCGACAATACATCTACACCACATCTACACTACATCTACACTACATCTACACCACATCTACACTACATCTACACTACATCTACACTACATCTACACTACATCTACACTACATCTAAACACTACATCGACAATACATCTACACCACATCTACACTACATCTACACCACATCTACACTACATCTACACTACATCTACACTACATCTACACTACCGTCCCCCGCCATCACCGAATTGTCGGGGTCGTTGGCCCCCGACTCCCCCGTTAAATTCATACCACGACCACAACTGCAACACCCGGGGTATGATTATGCACGTGGGTACCCGTGCACCTCACGGCGCAGCTCGACTCACGCGGTAACCACCGCCAGCAGCAGCATCGCGTGCTTGAATTGTGTAATCTTGTTTCATTTACCGTCGCAGCCGGTCGGAAGCAACTAATTAGGCTGCGGAATTCCCGCTCGCCAATTGATCTCTACGCGCTACACGCACGGCGCGTGCCGTGAGCGCCGCTGCTCCTACACGGCCCCGTACTGGCGCGGGCGAAGTGCAGCCAGCACCACACGATGCAGAGGCTCGCCACACCACGCACTCGTGCATTTAATGATCGAAGGACCCGTACTTTAATGCCCAGGGTGATAGCGCGTTACTGCTGCCCCGGCATGCGCGTCGAGCCCCGAGTGGACCCACCCGTGCAGAACGTAAACGCGTGGGTGAAATGACTCACGCGCAAACAAAAGGAATCACCGCGGGCAGGCTGGCCACACCACGCACCGCCCCTCCGTACTCACAGAGACAACACGACACGGTTTATACCCGACGGACGGTTTATTCCCCACGAATAAACGAACTAGACTGCGCGTGTCAGTACGGACCAGCAGGACAGGTCTAACCTATCTCGCTACTGCCTCATACCTAATCGACCTGTCTGCCCTCTATTTTCTCTCCGAATTTCGTCCCTTTGTCTTACCTCTCTCCCTCGTCCGACCTCGCAGCGATGGAGGTCGCGGATAGATGATGCTGTAAACAGAATTTGGCTGTTCTCTGCCCCGTCTCACGGACGTGCGAGTAACAATCAGGTGACGGCTTCTCGATCCCTCCCTCCTGTTGATCTCCAGTCAAATATAAATGGCCCCGTGCTTCCCCAAAGCGTCCCTTTTTATGCTCCTTTCAAAGCCCTCGCACCGCCCGTCCGCGGTGCATCACGGGTCAGCCCGTTAATCCGCGGTGCATCATGGGTAGGGCCGTTACTCCGCGGTGCATCATGGGTAGGGCCGTTAATCCGTGGTGCATCATGGGTAGGGCCGTTACTCCGCGGTGCATCATGGGTAGGGCCGTTACTCCGCGGTGCATCATGGGTAGGGCCGTTAATCCGCGGTGCATCATGGGTAGGGCCGTTAATCCGCGGTGCATCATGGGTAGGGCCGTTAATCCGCGGTGCATCATGGGTAGAGACGCTAGCCCGCGGTGCACCATGGGTAGAGACGCCTAACCCACGCTGCCCCGCTCCCCACCTGTCTGCTGCTCCGTGTGTGTCTTGGGCATCTCCTCACTGCGGTTCTCAGTGAGTTCGCCGTGGTCATTTAATTCTAAGTTAAGCCACGGCGCCGCAGTGCCATTTGGCCTGGGGGGGGGGGGGGGGGTGCCTGCCAATTCCCTGACCCTGAGAAACCGTGGAGCACCCCCACGAGGGGGCCTCTCGGGTAAAAACTCAGGGCAGGTGCCCCCCTCCCCTCCCCATGAGGCCCTACGTGAGTGTGTGTGTTTATGGGGGGGGGGGGAGAGTGCTGTGATGGGAGCCGGGTGGCTTCTCGGTCGCAGCAGCACAGCGACGGCCCCGATTTCGACGGAGCGGCTTCGCTGTTGTGGCACCACAAAATCAACCAGGTAGGGTGCTGACTGTTGTGTCAGCCGACTTTCTGCGCTGTGTTGCATTATATTTCTAAGTTTACTCAAACTTCTAATTGAGCAATCTTTGGAGTGGCGTAATCGACCAGACCATGTGTTAATTGTCTGTTGACCGACTCTGCGTCGCATTACATTACATTTCCAAATTTTACTAAGTTAGTTTGATTTAGTGTTGCCTTCTTCTCTGTCTCCCCTCGGTTGTTGCAGCGTTGGCGGTGGAGTTTTCTCATTGTGGAATCTCCCATTGACATGCTAATTCTTCTAACCCCCCCCTCTCTCTCTACCCCCTCTCTAACTATTTAAGGCCTCGACACAGAGACGTTGTTTCTCTGTGTGCCCATTTGTGTGTCTCTCTCTGTCTCTTTGTTCATTCTTTCCGCTTGTGTGTCTGTGTATGTGTCTCCGGTTCTGTGTCTTGTCTCTCTCTTGGACGTAATCAACCAGGTAGGGTGTTGACTGTTGTGTCTGCCGACTTTCTGCGCTGTGTTGCATTATATATCTAAGTTTACTAGGTGTGTTTCTCTTTCATTTGTACCTGATGATGATTGCTTGCTTTGCAATCGAAACGTCATATGTGATTATGTAATTTATTATTGTCTATTTATACGTGACTTGGTAGAAACAACCAAAGAATAATTCCTGCAGTCACGAAAGCACCAAATAGAGTTTAAGAACCTCTGTCTTGGAGAAGTCAACGTCATTTGAACCTACTGAATTATAACAGTGATCTGCCACGGCCGAGGTGTTGGTCCTACCGTGTTTTAGGTCTGCTTTGTGTTCACGGATGCGGTCCGAGACATGGCGTTTGGTTTCTCCAATGTAACTACTACCACAGAGGCAACTTAGTTTTGTAGACGCCAGGGTACTGTATGTCCGGAATCACATCCCTTACAGACGGAACCAGATCACGGATTTTATGTAATGTGTTGAATCGGACCTGGATCTTGTGTTCATTCAAGATTTAGGAGATCTTTTTGTGAGCCATTATTTTTCTTCTCCCCCCTCCTCTTTTTCGAACAAAGATGGACTCGTCCATCTGCACAAACTGTCAAATCGCTCTCCGTGGTGCTAACGTTAAAAAAACCGCCACTTTTTTCAAATTTCTTGTTGTGGTTTTCACACCTGATGATGATTGCTTGTGTTGCAGTCGAAACGTCGTGAGAATTTTATTGTTTTATATTTTATTATTTTATTGTTTCCCTTCTACGTGACTTTACCGAAAGAACCAAGAATATGAATCCCTGCAGTCACGAAAGCTTTAAATAAAAAATATGTTCTAGTTGTGGTGTGCCAGGTGTGTAGAGATTCTTCAGGTCGCTGACCCAGAGAGAGCCGGCTGAAATAAAGCCCTCGTTATGACGGAGAACATTCGCCAATAATGCTGTACTGTACTGTGAAGAGTAGAAGTCCTCTCGGCTGTTAAAGACGAGAGGATTCACGGACAACATACGTCAGACGGATCCGTAGGCCTTGCCCATCTGCAGTCTCTACGCTTACATCGCATGCATGGCGACATGTTTAATTTAAACGCATAGAGGGAATCCACCCTCTTAAATATACATGCCTGAATAAAATGCATATTCTCAGCTTAACAATGATCCATAGTCATTTACGTGACTACATTGACCCCCCCCCCCCCCGTCTCGTCTCTGCATCTGATAGGCTAATGGTGATGGCACCACATTTACTCCTCGATTTAAGGGCCAAACAGGAAGACTTCTTCACACTTCTGGCTAATCACCTCGACGAAGCTGATTGTAACTCGAATTGTAAATGTAAAGTATTGGCCCACGTATTGGCCCACGTTTTGCTTTACGTGACAAATCTCACGAATTGGCTGTGTCGGGTGGTGGTGGGTTTCACGACAACATTTTAAATTCACGCGATCTCACCCAAAAAAAATAAAACCTTTATTATGGTTGCATAAACTGCAACGCCTCCCATCACAAGACTTCTGTTATCCGCTGGGTCCAGTCATGCTGTGACTCATTCCGCTATCCGTAGTTGCGTCGTGCAATATACACACATGTCATGCCGTATACACACATGTCATGCCGTATACACACATGCCACCACGTGCCAAATGTATATTTCCCATCGTGCGAGACAGCCCGAATTGTGTGCAGCTCACCCACTGAATTTGAACTCTTTTTTTTTCCCCGTCGCAGATGCAACCAATGGGAGGACGATCCTGAATTGACAAAATGTAGATACAATAAGACAGCAGAAACGTCTCTGTGATTCTTTTCTCTCATCGTGACGGACGAGTGAGGAGAGGCGCAGCGCACAAGAATGTCTCCTCTCATGAAGGGGTACCACGAGTTGCGGGTAACGTGACGGTCGCGGGGTTTAGCCCGTGCGAGGATTTTCGAAGCGTGCGTACGCGTGATATGTGTGCAATGCGGCGATTGTGCACAGTGCACCTTACACTCGAATTCGTTTTAAAGTCACTCAGGTCGGCTTCAGAGCTGACCTTAGTGGGAACTATGGAAAAAAAAATAGATTATATATAAATGTTTTACATTTGTATAATACCAATGGGTTGTGAGCACGAACTTAACCTTTCATACACATCCATTCTGGCAGCTCACACCGTGCACTGGCATCTCTGTCCAGTTATACAGAGTTATACACTTGTAGGCACGACAGTTTAGCATTGACAATGTATGTGGCAGATACGAGATTGTACACGGCAGGTGTGTTCTTCATGGACCATATCACGTGCAACTATATCGCTGTCTCTCAACTGAATGTCGGAGGAGGAGTTCCATTGTACCTGTATGAGAAACAGCTCTTTTGCCAGCACTTGAGTGGTGTCTTCTGTTTGGGTCAGAAGGTGAGTCGCAGAAACTACCACTGCTTCGCGTAAACAACAGACAGACAGAAATCACATCCTCGCTGTGTGTGCCATACACTCATACACATTAATGAACGCATCGTACCAACAGATGCAGCTTTAATAAGCGAGTTGAGCTCATGCCACCCACAACTGTACGTGGGACAGATGAAGCAACAGAGTCTCCCGTGCCCAGATGACGGACGTGTCATTAGTGTTCACTTCGCCACTCCTGTGGGGGACACGTGGAAGTTCTGTTTACTCAGCAATCGCTGTATTTTACCAGCGGGGGGGGGGGGGGGGGGGGGGGGGGGGGTGCCACGTCTCATACCCTTTGCGTCTACGATTCCACCGTGGGCTTTCACCCGGGCAGCTCTTCTGCCCCGTGCTGCAGTCAAGGACACCAAGGCATTCGAATATTTTTTTGCGCGTTTAGTTTGCTGCCGTTCCCCCGCACCTCCGATTAGCACCACGGTTGGCTGCGAGCGGTGCGAAAGAAGTTCAACGTCGGGGCCGATGGCCGCGCGGGTGACACGCCGATGTATGTCGTACACCCTCCTCCACCCGACACGGTCAAATAAATAGAGTCGCCGCGTGAACAAACGTGCCATTTTATTATTCTTCCGCACGCCGGCCTATTGGAGAGCCACTTTAACAATTGGGTGCGGACTATCTGACCCAGCAATCATTCGTGAATCGTAACATTGGTCGTGAAAGCCGACGTGTTAATGTTACTGATGTTGCAATTGCACATGCACGCTTCTTGTGCCGGAGTTTGCGGAGTAATGGAATTTTACCGTGCACGCTCTGATAAAAATTGCTTTATTCACCAGAAGAGTTCCCCTGACATAGGAACGTTACAAATTGCGAGGCGTATATGGGTTAAATAGACGGCGATACATATTTTCACAAAATTATATTGTTATACAAAAATACAGTATTGTCGGGTTAGGCTGCACAATATCTTGCTGATAAATACAATTACGAAAGTTTACTTTAACCACTCATTCAGGATGCATGAGCCATCAGAGGTGGGTTGATAAATGTACCGATCGTGACGTTGCATTTGTAACTCTAGAGCGGAGCGATGTTCATAAACTGCACTCGGCTCCTGCGCCTGTTTAGTTTCACTGTCCAGAGGTCCTCTACACATTACCAAAGCAACCGCAAAGCACCATTGAGAAGGTTTAATCCCTGTACGGTTATCAATGTGCACAGCTTTGTAATCGTGATTATTATAACGAAAAAAACATAGTTGTGGAATGTGTAACATGTATTTTCAAATGCAATGTAAAAATGTGATTTCATATGGGGGGAAAAAAATTGTCGATGAGCAGGTGAACCGAGTAACTGAGTAGCCACACGAATTTGCATCGTTCATTCACCCTTGCTGTACGGACTGGTTGCCGTAGGACCTCAGGGGAGTGCACAATACCTCCAGTCTTTGAACGATTCCCGAGATCTCATCGCAGTACTTCTGCGAGCTGGCCAAGCGCAGAGATCCCCCTTCCTCGAACTCGATCCTGAGCGAGCGCTGGCCAGGGGTCCAACCCAGCACTTGGGCGATGGCACGGTGGAACACCACCCGCCCGGAGGCCTTCTCCACCAGCACCAGGCTCGAGGCGGACAGCGCCAGGAAGCACGGCACGTCGTCGCAGTCCTCGTCATCGGCGCACGAGGAGCAGAAGTCGCGTGCGAGGACGTCCCACACCAGGGCCCCTCTGCTGAGCAGCTCGGCACGGGGCCTGGGCAGCAGCTTCTCCTTGCGCCACGGGTTGAGCGGGAAGGCGAAGCGCGTGTTGGCGTCCAGCGCCGTCGTCGTCACCGACTTCTCGGCCAGCTCGCGGAGGCTCTCGTGCCGGGCGCGCGTCGCCATGGCGTGGAACTTCTCGCACTTGTGCGCAGCCTTCTCCGCGTTGACGATCTTGGTGAGGAGGAACGCGCGGAAGACGGACGGGTCGCGGAACGAGCCGCCTTGGGGCAGCTGCGGCCCGAACGCGGGGACGCCCTTCGAGCGGGAGACGGCGACCCTGAGAGGGGGCGGAGCGGGAAGGTAACGTGCCGCAGAGAGAGAGAGGAGGAGAGAGAGAGGGAGAGAGAGCGGTATAACTTTCGACGGGGTATGAGGTTTCGGTGGCTGGGGAGTGCAGGAGGCTGCGGTGGGAAGTTTGAACTGGGTTGGGAGGAAGGAAATTGTTTTTCCATCGCGCGGATTTTGTTTTAAAAAAAGTATGAAAACCGTGCTTTTCGCAATGAACGCTAACAATTTCGCCATGTAATAATTTTAAGTTCAATTAAATGATGCATCCCACAACGCTTGCCAGGCTTGTACAGTAAACGTGTATTATTTCACTCTCAGCTTTTATTTTGATACATTTTATCCCACATTCAAAATATCTTTAAATGGCTTAACCTATCTGTGTAGAAGGACCATTGCCTAAAACGTTAGCCTAATATATATCTATTTGATATAAGGTCGCGTCACTGGCGATTGTAGCGTGGTCATTAAACCAAAACTATTTTTATTTTACCAGGTAAGGCCCACTGAGCTATGCATCTTTTTTTCAGAAGCGACCTGGCCATCACAAATGGATAGGTCAACGGAGTGGCTTGTGTGGAAATTGAAAGCAGACAAACAATCTAAACTCGTCACGTTGACTCTAAATTGCGGAGGGAAAAGCCGGAGGACCCGGATACAAATTCACGCAAAACACGGGGAGAACACGCACACTTCAAATATACAGCAGCAGCAGGCATCAGGGGTAGGGATCGAACTCCACGACCTCCTGTATACCAGGCGAGGTAGTTAACATCTCCTAGCCACCGTGGCGCCATTATTATTTATTATTTCAACACCAGCTCCTCAACTTCCGCTCACGCACGCTCCGAAGGCCGATTCACGCAGCAGCCTCACGGCAAAGGGGAGAACAATTCGGATAGAAGAAAGAAGGAAATGAAACCTCCCACGCTGAGCGTGAAACCACCGCGTGGCACTTTCCACGGCGCTCGCTCCTCATCGTCGGCGCACGCGGGGGGGGGGGGGGAGGGGGGAGGTTGGTGGTGGTGGTGGGGACGGCGTGGGAGGCAGCACCTGTACGAGCCGGCCGGCTCGCCAGGCTCCGTCACGACGCGCACCACGATGAACACGTGCTGGAACTGGGAGCGGACGCAGCGCGCCGTGAAGGGCAGGGAGCCGGGCTCCTGGAAGATGACGGTGACGATGTCGTTGCCGATGTGCCGCTTCCTGAGCACCTGCGAGCGGGCCGAACCGCGATCGTCGTCAGGCGAGATTCCGGAGGGCGCCGTTTTTACAGCGGCACTCATGTGTGGCCGGCTCCACTGAGCTACGGTTGAAGAACTCTCACGTCATTTTTGTTTCTGTCATACCGAACATACAGCAACGCGCACGATAATAATATAAAACTGTGAAATACATGATTCATAATTAATTTCTTGTGGGTTAGGTCGTGTAGGCATAATCACATTTTTTTTATATATAATGATAACAATAACCCTCCAGCATCCGGCATTGCCAATCAAATCCATTTGTCACGTGGACAAATACGCCAATTGATTTGGTTTATCAGCACACCAGAGTGTTGAAATTCATGCAAAATGTTGACAATTTTTGCGCCACGTTTCGCTGGAGATTGTCCGGCAACATCGTGACACTGACATCGCGTTAATCGTCGTATTCGTGAAACTCGATTTCGTGTCGTAAAACAATTATGGTTGCGGCAACCCCAGTGGCACAACTGCTGCCCACTGTCCCTGTTCGTCTCTCGTGCCCCGTACCTGCTGACGATCGTTGGGCATGTACGGCAGCATGGTGGACACGTGGAACATGATCTCGTAGCCCTGGAAGGTGGTGTAGAGCGAGTGCGTTCCCGTGGAGTCCACTGGACGAGGACAAGATGCACAGAGTGAGACAAAAGAACACGCTGTTAAGTAACTCCCGTCGAGACAACAACGAGCAATGTTCAACTTGCAATGCGCCGCACAGCGTTCGCTCGCTCTCGTAGAGAGAGAACGACTGGGAGGCGCGAGGACGAACCGCAGACGAGCGGGGAGGCAGCAGCGGCCGCGTGCTGAGCAGGCACCAACAATTGCCCAAGGCCTGCGGTCCACTATACATTGAGATGGTATCGGCCAATTAAAAAGTGGTCACACGTGGGTTGAAACCGGAGCACCAGGAGAAAACGCACATGGGCGAGGGGGAAACGCTCTATCCCACACAGACGAAACGGGTGGAGTCCACATTGTTTCGCTGTACGGCCATCTCCTGACGAGCCAGGGTATGACATTATGAAAAATAAGAATAGGTTTTACCCTTTCTGGCAATAAAACATATGTTAAGACGTTCAAACACCAAACAGTTACCGTTTGCAAGGGATCAAGTCTGCATTAACCACACACAGTACTTGCGGTGAGCATGAAAACAAAACTTGCTCTGACAATATACGCGCTGTCTTTGAGACCTATTGGCCTACACCAGAGGCAGCCTTCTACGACACTTGCTCGACGCCAATGACAAGGGAGTTTCACAACATTCGTGTGATCCACCAACCCTCCCCTCCACAGGGTTGGATTGCAGGCGTTGCATAGCCACCACTGCCCCGCTAAGATGACACGCTGCAGAAGAGCATGCGCCTGAGTTTGTAAATGATGCTGAAATTCAAACGTAACCATGCTTTTAACTCCTCCATAATAGAGGTAATTTTTTTGGGGTTAGATCGCATAAATATAAATGTGACGTTGAACCCGTCACCACCCGACACAGCCAACTAGTAAGGGTTGTCACGTAAACAGCACTAACCGGTGTGTTGGAGAGCAAATCCACAACATTTTAAATCCGAGTACGACGTTTTGTCAGTAATTACAACTAGCTTCATCAGGCGACAGCCAGATGTGTGCAGACATCCTCCTGTTGTAACTCCTATTTAAAATGCGATGAAAATAATTCCACTTGTGTGCAATGTCAGGCCAACGACACGTCATGAGATGATTTTTTCCTCTTCCTCTTGCAGATGAAGAGGGGGGCGGCCTCCTTGCCTCCGCAGGCCCCACACACAACGCTCTCTAAATCGTGCTACACGTTCAAGTCGTTTCCTGTACCGCGCAGCTTCCAGGAACACGCCGACAGTTCATGGGTAGTCTCCACAACAGGAACTGAGAATTATAACTTTTTTTGTTGGGTTTAATGGAACATGCAACGCACGTGAAAATAATATATATTTTGGTGGGATGTTGCCAAAAGAATATTTGTAAATTGCGATGCATAAGCAGTTTGTGTGTGTACGGTAAACAAATCCTGCTGATTCTCTTTTTTGGAATCCCATCTCTTGGCTACCGGTCACCATTACAGAGTTTAAAATCGATCCTCACCCCACCGTCTTGTTATCGGTGACGCCTCCTGGTGCCTCTCGGTCGTTCTCTCTCTCTGTACGAGAGCGAGCGGATACAATTTGAAATGTATAAATTATGATCTCGTGTCTTTTTTAACTCGCCGTGTTCACTCTGTGCATCTTGCCCCGCGTGTTTGTATGTTGAACTTCTTTCGCACCGTACGCAGTGGCCAACCGATGCTGATCGTGCCAGTTTACCATCGACTCAAACGGAGCCGACTCCCTCGTGCACCGCACACGTAACTGAGCTCCCGCCTTTGTGCAAGACAGAATCTCCTCGTCATCATCGTAATAATAATTTACGTTCGTAAGGCGCATTTCAATCCAAGGATCCCGATGGCGCCGTGTATGGAACACAGGGAAAAAACACAGAGCCAGCGGTAAGGCGACCGAATCTATAGGGGGGTGGGGGGGGGGAAAGGCCACTTTAAAAATGTGAGTTTCCAGGGGCAGATTTAAGTAGCTCTAAAGCTTCTAATTGTCTTATTGTCAGGGGTCAACACGTTCCATAGTTTTGGAGCTGCACTGACAAAAGCCCGATCACTCCAGGAACGGAGCCTCGACCTAGGTTTATTTTTTCCCGCAGCCAATTATTATTCAAAAATTTATTTTAGTTTTTTGGGGGTCTTTCGGCGTTACGTGGCCATAACTAAAAAATAAAAATGAACAACGATGAACTGGGCCTCTCCTGTGCCCCGAAGCTGAGCGACGAGTCTGCTGCGGCTTTGCCCCGTGGCCTGCGGATTTTCCGCTGGCTTCCTGGAATATATTCGCCGAGCGTTTTTCAGAATCGTTTCGCTCGCAGAACATTTTGGGGGGGGGGGGGGTCAGGGGTCAAATGCGGCGAGACGGTGTCCCGTACGACGGGAGATTGAAAATGCCGACGGCGAAGGTGACTTTGACAGCGACGATGATGATGGCGTTTATGAGCATGGTTGTGAGAATCGCTGTGAATGGCTGTCTCTGGGCGCAGGCCAATCAGTTGCAAAGACAGTGCATGTGTAGAGGTATTATAAGACGTAGATGCGCTATCTTCACGCAGTTAGCCAGTAGTACCGGTTATGTGCCAATAGGAGGCAGAAGAGGGGCTGGGCTCCAGTGTTCAAGGACTATGGCCCACAGGGCTCAACGGTAACCCCGATGGAACGGTATACAGACCTCAGACCCCAGGAGGGGCCTGGGGAATGACATCACCTCCAGGTCCTGCTAGAAGATTCTGGAAGGAAGGCGTGGCCGGGGCCCTGTATAAAAGCCGGACCTCTGAAGGGTCCCGGCAGTCGTCGTCCAGCTGAAGACAAGAAGAAGTCTCCTGCCCCAAGGGCAGGGTCATACCCCTGGCTAGGGCTGGCTTGAGCTATAACCAGTGAAGACAAGAAGAAGTCTCCTGCCCCAAGGGCAGGGTCATACCCCTGGCTAGGGCTGGCTCGAGCTATAACCAGTGAAGACAAGAAGAAGTCTCCTGCCCCAAGGGCAGGGTCATACCCCTGGCTAGGGCTGGCTTGAGCTATAACCAGTGAAGACAAGAAGAAGTCTCCTGCCCCAAGGGCAGGGCCATACCCCTGGCTAGGGCTGGCTCGAGCTATACCCAGTGAAGACCCAAGCTTCACTCAAGGAGGATTCGTAGATTAGCCAGTGAGAGGCGTAAGAGTCCGGAGTGGCTACCTCCTTAGTGTATCGGGTGTGGGGGGCCGCTACCCCTCTGTGTTAAGGAACCATTGTTAAATAAAAACTCAGAGAAGCTCTCTTCTAGTTATTCACGCCACTACACATGTATGCTCAGAGCATGTTTGTTTGCACGTTTACCACAATTACTGTGTGCGGTTAATGCAGACTTGATGCCTTGCAAAGGGTTTCTATTTTGTGTTTGAACATCTTAACACCTCCTGTTTTATTGTCAGAAAAGGTGAAAACCGATTCTTATTTTTCACACTTTGATACTGGCAAAACAAGTTCCCATGATATGTGATGTTGATTATTTAGATAATAACGTTGCTAATGATGATGATGCGAATTATGGTGATGACCATGAGTGCTGACAATAATGTATTCCAGGAGAGCCTCACTCAGTGTACCCTACAGACTTCTTCAGGAAGTCACCGCATTGAGACACGCGTTGTGTACACATTAATAGTCCACCACAGATGTCTACATTGCCAACGACGGGGCCTGCTCTACCCATACGATGGCCACTGTGGGACATCTCCCATTTAGCGTAACTACGGAGATTATTACTTAATGGGCTACAAAACCTACTTGCTGTGCTATCATCCCCTACGTGCAGCAGCAACAGTATGATGGAAATCATCATCATAATCACCCTTATCAGCTACAACATCACCAGTATGCGCGGTGTAACACATATATAATCCGATTTATTTTCCAACTCGACACCCGTTATCTGTCCTTTTAGTACACAAACACGGTGTGTTTTCTGCCACCTCTGAGCGACTCGTCGGCATTTTTGACACGGAGGACTGCAGGAATCGTCGTGTGTATGTTGAACTTCTTCCGCACCGTACGTAGCCAGCCGTGCCGATCGGAGGTGCGAGGGAAAGGCAACAAACTAAAAGAACTAAAAGCGGTTCTAAAGAAATGTTTTCAATCGAGATTGTTTAAAAGTGCACAGTTCCAGTAGCTTCCCGATATCGAGAAGGAAGAGCATTCCAGACGGCCGCAGAAGCGCATCTGAAAGCGCCGCGCGATGCGGTGACCACCTTTGTTCGATGGCCCAGCCAGAAGCCGCTCGCTGCCGCCGCGAGGGATTTGACCGGAGCTGCCGCCGCGAGGGATTTGACCGCTCGCTGCCGCCGCGAGGATCACCGTAAGCGGGTAAGAGGAGTGCCGGTGTGCCGAGTGTGTGTGCTGTGCGGATCGATTCGGGAGGTGATGGAGGCATGAGTATTGGCTTTATATTGACACAGATCACAGGACATTTTTTTTACTGAATGGCGCCGTAACGACGCTGCAGGCAAAGTGCCGCGTCTACACCCGCGAGTGACACGATAGATTTTTTTTGTTTGGCTCAGATCGCGTGAATGCGGTGCCAATGAACGTGTGTCATTAACCCAACCCGCCCCCCCCAAACCCTCCTCCACCCGACTCAGCCAAATACAGAAATGAAAACGTACGACGCGCACTTCACTTAAGACCACACGATCCAGAGAGAGAGACAGAGAGCAAGAGGAGTCGATGGCGTTTGGGTTCGTAACGTCATCGGTCTCCGACAAAATCCCTGTGCACGTTACGGCGTCTCTCATGGGACCGTTCTTGCCAGTATCAAAATATAATAATTGGTCCCGTGATGTAGCTGCTCGCCCCGAGCTATGAATGCCCTGATAGTGGCATTGTCTTTGTGCTGTTCGCCTTTTGGCGTCCTCTGGTCTCAATTTCAAAGACGATGCATCATATTACCAGAGCGTGTTTTTTCTTTGCATGTGCACCACAGAGTATGTGCGGCTAATGCAGACAGGATTCCTCACAAAAAGGCTTCTGTTTGGTGTTGTAACATCTTAACGCCGATAGGAATAGGGTTTTTACACATTTTTTTCTGGCAACAAAACTTAAACCTTTTTTTTTACAAGGAATCATGTTACTGCATTAACCACAATACTTGTGGTCAGAATGCAAACAAAAAAAGACTGATAACATATGCATTGTCCTTGAAACTGATTGGTCCACACCGGAGACAGCTTTCTTTTGAGCCTCGTCTCAAACGGTGTTAGACCAGAGCACGCCAAGAGGCGGTACTTAACATCTCCTGCTTTTGTTCCTAGAGAGGGTAACGGCAAAATTGTTGTAAGGCGTCTCCGTCCGCCCGTCCGTCCGTCCGTCTCACTCTTGTTGTCGAGCTGGGCTCGGAACTTGTTGAAGCCCTTGAGACGGACGCAGTCCCCCAGGAGGTGCAGGAACTCGGTGAGGGCCGGGCCAGCATCTTCGTTGTTGTACATCTCATCCTCACTGCTCTGCCCGGCCCGGCAGTACATGATGCCCACCTTGAGCTGCGAGCACAGCTGGGTGAAGACAAAAGAGCGAGGGTGACCACACGCGTAGTGCCGGACTAAGCTAGTTGCGTACGTTATAAAGGGGGGCCCTAAATAAAAAAAACATGTAAATATTAAAACACCGTACATTTGTTTTACTTGCATAGTAAAGTAATTGTATTTTTTCATTTGCTATACAGCCAGACAATACGACAAATCGCTAACCTTAAACACCCAGTCGTTCATAAAAGTTGAAGGCGGTATAGTACTATAGTAATAGAGCAAGTGCAGAATCACTGAACCGGAATTGATAGCTTGAAAGCGTTTAGCGCGGGGTCCTTGAAAGTGCGGAGCCCGTAGCATGTGTAGCAACTACACATGCAGCTACTACATATGTAGCTACTACTACACGTGTAGCTACTACATATGTAGCTACTACATATGCAGCTACTACGCATGCAGCTACTACACATGTAGCTACTAGAACCCTTACTAATTGGCCGTAGTGGCGGGTTTTAACGGCACATTGTATATTTACGCGATCTAACCCCGCAAAAAAACCTCCCCATTATGTATAATATTGGTCGCCAAAGCCTACTTCGTGTGAAACTCCTTTAGTTTTAAGTTTAGACACGTAGGCTTTCGCTACCAATATCCACAATACAGGTATTGTTTCGTTCGGTTAGATCGCGTAAATATAAATGTGTCGTCAAACTCGCCACCGCACGACGCAGCCAAACTAGTAAGGTTCCTGCCACAATCATTGTGGTTAATGTAGACATGATTCCTTGTTAAAAGGTTTCAGTTTGGTGTTTTAACACCTTAACACCTGTTCTGTTGCCAGATAAAAGGGTAAAAACCTATTATAATATTTTGGTACTGGCAATGGAGGCCCCGTGATGTAAAATGTTCCGTCACCCCAATACAGTTCGTAGCTTTGAGTCTTACTCTTTGAATCTTTCGGTAAAGTCACGTAGAAAGAAAAATAAATTAAATAATAGCATACGACGTTTCGATTGCAACACAAGCAATCATCATCAGGTACAAATGAAAGAGAAAACAAACCTATTAAACTTAGAAATATAATGCAATACAACACAGAGAGTCGGCTAACATAACAGTCAACACCCTACCTGGTTGAATACGTTCTTCCAAAGATTGCTCAATTTGAGAGAGAGTCAAAACACAGACACGGAGACACACACAGAGAGAGAGACACATAAGCAGAGAGAGATAACACAGAGACACACAGAGAGAGACAACTTACAGAGACACACAGAGAGAGACACACACATAGGCACACACAGAGAGACAACTTACAGAGACACACAGAGAGAGACACACACACATAGGCACCCACAGAGAGACAACTTACAGAGACACACAGAGAGAGACACACATAGGCACACACAGAGAGACAACTTACAGAGACACACAGAGAGAGACACACGCATAGGCACACAGAGAGACAACTTACAGAGACACACAGAGACACATTAGCAGAGAGAGAGACAACACAGAGACACACATAGAGAGACAACTTACAGAGACACACAGAGAGAGACACACATCGGCACACACAGATAGACAACTTACAGAGACACACAGAGAGAGACACATAAGCAGAGAGAGACAACTTACAGAGACACACAGAGAGAGACAGACACATAGGCACACACAGAGAGAGACAACTTACAGAGACACACAGAGAGAGACACACATCGGTACACAGAGAAACAACGCCTCTGTGTCGAGGCCTTAAATAGAGAGAGAGGGGGGCAGAGAGAGAGAGGGTAGAGAAATTAGCATGTCAATGAGAGATTTGGAGCTTTCGTGACTGCAGGAAATGATAGAGCAGTTTAACACGTAGTAGGCTTTCGCGACCAACATTATTCATAATAAAGGTTTTTGGGTTAGATCGCGTTATTAATAAATGTGTCGTAACCCTCCACCACCCGACACATTGCCAATCAGCAAAAAAGTGTCACCTTGACAAAAGACAAAATATTTTGCAACAACACGAGGACACACAGACAGAGAGACAGTAGAGAACCACACACTTAAGCTTTGAGTGTGGACACCCGCGCTGTGACCCCCCCACCTCCCCCCACCCTCCACCTCTCACCTCCTGCTCGTCGATCCGCAGCAGGCTGTCGGCCAGCTTGTGGGTGTTGGCCGCGAGCTTGAGGCCACGGAGGCCCTGCTGGGCGTGCAGCTCGGGCAGGGTCGCCTCCAGCACGTCGCGCGCGGGCAGTCCGCGCGGCGTCCCGTGCCGCGCCGCGCTCGCGACCGCCTCCTCCATCACCGCACCGCGCAGCGTGTACAGCTGCGGGGGGACGAGGCAATGCGTGCGTGGTCACGTCAGACACATTGGCCGAACGTGTTAGCGTTGTTGTTGTTGTTCTTGTTGTTGGTGTTTCTTTGTTGTTCTCACTAGATTCGAAGCTTTGTTGCGTTGGCCGACTCTCTGTGTTGTGGTGCATTATATTTACAAGTTGACAATGTGTGTTGTTTTTTTCATTCATTCGTACCTGATGATGGTTGCTTGTGTTGCAATCGAAACGTCGTATTCTAATTATTATTTAATTTATGGCCGACTCTCTGTGTTGTGGTGCATTATATTTACAAGTTGACAATGTGTGTTGTTTTTTTTCATTCATTCGTACCTGACGATGGTTGCTTGTGCTGCAATCGAAACGTCGTATTCTAATTATTATTTATTTTAATTTCTTTCTACGTGACTTTACCGAAGAACCAAAGAGTTTGTTGTTGTTTGTTTATCGTTGTCTAGTTATCGATGTCCGTCTGGTTCTGTGTTTATGCTCGATCCACGCTTTCGCTCTCTCCTCTTGCACCAAACTTCCCCCTCCACATGAAGCAGTCACCTTCGCTCACGAAGTTTCCACCCCTCACTCAAAACGCATTCTTATTGTTCACTAGCTCACCCCCACTACCCCCCCCCCCCTTAACCTCCGCCTCTCATAACCACCACCACCACCATATTCTCACTACACGGCTGTCACTCATTAACCCCGTTCATTCAATCCGTCCATCATCATTCACTGTCATCAACGTCGCTGTCACCGATGTCACGCATCATCGCAGATTTGCCCCCGTTGCTTCCTCGTCTATTTCATTCACCTCGTCTCCACCACCACCACCATCATTATCACAGCCATACCGCTGTACCGTTGTTTAGTCTCTGTTAACATAAGATGAGAAATACATAAAGAAAAATCATCATTCGCGTCGTTGGGGAGAGAATATCAATAACAAATTAAAAAGAGCGGATGATATACCATCTACACATATCCGTTCCTCGATGTAACACAAAAAAAAATCAGGAATTTCTTCAACCCACCAGTCGCGCGCGGCCTTGAGGAAGTGCCTACTCATTGCAACATGTTTTAAATAAAACTTGTGATTAAATATGCAATTATTTTTTTATTTAACAAAAATGTTAAACAAGTAAAACAAATCACAAACGGTCAGTGCCATTAGACTAAACGTTTTATTTTTCCCAGGTAAGGCCCCCACTGAGCTGGGTAGCTCATTTTCAGAAACAACCTGGCCACAACAAATGATAGCTCAACGAAGCGGCTTAGCATCATGGGGAAATGTACAGTAGACAAATACTCTAAACGCCTGACGTTGATTCTAAATGTGGAGGGAAAAACCGGAGGACCCGGAGAAAAATCCACGCGACCACGGGGAGAGAGACACGCAAACTCCAAATACACAGCAGGCGTAAATGTTGGGATCGAACCCACGACCTCCTTGTATACCAAGCAAGGCATTTAACATCTCGCCACCGTGAGACCCCACATGCCCATGGCAGTGGATGTGGAATTGGTGATTCTCTCGTGCTGCTCGACTTTGAAATTCCCTCCCATCGTCTATTCCCTCCCCTGCACCACTCCCTCAAGCTCTGATAAAATAACTAAGTTGTGATCTTCTTCGCCTCGTACACAACGCCTCGTGGGCTCCATCCCGACACTGACGCCTGCTGTATATTTGGAGGTCTCGTGGATTTTACTCCACATTTATAAACAACATGCGCTTAGATTATTTGGCTGCACCTATAAATTCCCACATATGATAATGATGTAAGCCACGTGAATGAGCTATCGTGTGTGGCAAGGTCACGTCTAGCAAAATGCCTCATAGCTCAGTGGGCTTTACCTGTTAAAATAAAAATAAAAATTGTTCGTGACAGCTGTTTGTTCCTGGCCTCTTGAGTTTTTGGACAATGGTCCTTCAGAGCACAAATGTGTTCTTTATCGACGTGTTGAGTCTTTTCTTATTTGTGATTGTGCACAACTGCCAACGCAAATGAGTTGTATTACAGTGTTAAATTGTAGCATCCACGAATGTCATTTTCACGCATGCCCAGAGGCAATGTGATGACGTACGTAAGGCACTATTGGGGAGAGCATGCATTGTCTCTAAGGAGAGTTTGATTAATATAGCGAAGTTAATGCGCTCGGTAAACATAGCATCGACACAGAGGCATTGGGTCTCTGTGTCTATGTTGTGTATCTCTCTTTCTGTGTGTGTCTGTGTTGTCTCTCTCTGCTTGTGTGTCTGTCTGTGTGTCTCCGTGTCTGTGTTTTGTCTTTCTCTCAAATGTAGTTCTACCTGATGACGGTTGCTTGTGTTGCAGTCGAAACGTCGTACACTATTATTTAATTTATTTTCTTTCTACGTGACTTTACTGCAGTCACGAAAGCTTCAAATCAAGTTTAAACATAGCATCGTTGAGCCAACGTTGGGATAGCGTTGGCCCAGCGGTTCCAATAACGTGCCAACGTTGCAGCAACGTTGGCACGTTTGTTGGCGTATCGGGTAGAGGTGGCCAGACCGTGGCTCATGAGTCGCACGTGGCTCCCGGAGTCATTCAAGTGCGGCTCGGTGGAGAAGCAGCTCGCTTCTAAGTTCATTGACTGAACTTAATCCGAACACGGAGAATAAATCTGCGATCCTGGGCGGACACACAATGCACACACACACACACACTATGCACACACACACTACACACACTATACACACACTATGCACACACACACACTATATACACACACACACTATGCACGCACACATTATGCACACACACTATGCTCACACACACATACACACACACTATATATACACACACACACTATGCACACACACACACTATACACACACTATGCACATACACACTATGCACACACACACACTATGCACACACACATACACACACACACTATGCACACACACACTACACACACTATGCACACACACACACTATGCACACACACACATACACACATGCACACACACTACACACACTATGCACATACACACACTATACACACACACTATGCGCACACACACTATACACACAAACTATGCACATACACACACACACTACACACACACTATGCACACACACACTACACACACTATGCACACACACATACACACACTATGCACACACACTACACACACACACTATGCACACACACACACTATACACACACACACTATGCACACACACACTATACACACACTATATATACACACACACACTATGCACACAAGACAGCCTTGCGACGTGAAGGTGAAACCGCACGGTGGCCACGTGACCTCACCTGGCTTCTCCTGACGATGATGCGGTAGAGGAATTGCGGCGTCGCCTGCGGGCTGCTCACATCCTCGCCGCTGGCGATCTGCTCCCGCAGCAGGCTGACAACCACGGGGCCCAGGCGCTCGCTCACTCCCACGTAGTTCTGGTGCTCTGAAGGACACACAACACGTGTGGGGGGGGGGGGGGGGGCCATCAGCACAAGTGTCAGACAGCGAGGCTACACGGCTATTGCCAACAACAGATACATACAAGGGGGCAATGCATGGCATTTGACATGCATGGTTGTGAGACACCACGGAGGCCCGGTGTGACCGAGACACACACCTTGTCAACTGTGCGAGATCCTCCCCCCCGCCCCCACGCGCCCAGCTGATACGTATTTACGGTGAACTTCTTTGGCGCCGTACGTAGCCAACCGTGATAATCGGAGGTGCGGGGGTAAGACCAACAAACTACACACGCAAGAAATTCATTTCTGTACAAGTGAGTTTTAAATCTAGGTGACGACTTAGAAGCGCACAGCTCTCAGCGGTTTCGGATAGAAGAACGTTCCCGACGGCCACAGAAGCGCGTCTCAGTTCGAGGGCCAGCAGGCAAAAGCCGCTGCTGCGAGAATGTCCCGGAGTTCGCGCAGAGACGGTGGCTTCATTGCTCCTTGACGAGGTCAGCGATGTGCGCAGTTCGTTTCCTTGCCAAATCCACGAGGGTTAAACGCACTGGCTAATTACAATGAAAATGACTTCACACTGCCCCGGAAGCGTGAGAGGTAAACCACGTGGTTTTTTTTTTTGGGGGGGGGGGGGGGGGATTATGGTCCGCGATGATATTTGGTGGACTCCCTTAGTTGTTTTTTGTCATGAATCCATGGCCCCCTTGAGCTGCATGGGGCTCTCAACGTTTTGATGTAACACGGAGTAGTAGTAGGAGGCTTTAACGTGTAGTAGCAGGAGGCTTTCGCGACCAATATTAACCGCAATAGAGGGGTTACTTTTGGCTAGATCGCGTAAATAAACAATGTGCCGTGAAAACTCGCCACCACGGCCAATTAGTCAGGATTGTCACGTAAACAAAACGAATCCTCCGAAGCAGGAGGATTTCCCCACAAATCTGGCTGTCGCCCGATGAGGCTGGTTGTAATGAGCAGTGAGATTGTCAATGGTGGAGTGGGTTTACTCTCCAGCACACAACCGGTGTGTGCTGAGCTAGTTACCAATTGGCACGTTTTGTTTACGTGACAAACCTTACTAATTGTTTGTGTCGGGTGGTGGCGGGTTGAACGACACATTTATATTTACGCGATATAACCCCCCCCCTCCCCCACCCAAAAAAACCAGCATCTATTGTGGTTTTGCTTTGTCCACGTACGCCTGGAGCAACAGAGCCCTAGGCAAATCCACCTGACGGTGAATAGCTCGGGGTGGGAGAAGTTCCTAACGAATCCGATAACGACAAAAAAAGCCGAGAACACTGCCGCGCGCGAGCATCTCGCGGGAGGCGCCCTCCCCCGGAGGCACCTCTTTGGTAGAAGAACTTCCTGTAATAGCGGGCGCCCACATCCTCGTGCTCGATGCAGAACGGCGACTGCGGCTCGGGCTCCTGGCCGGACTCCGACTCGGGCTCCAGCACCGCCACGCTCGCGTCCGTGCGGCACGACCCGGGATACGCCGTCGACGGCGTACCGCCGCCGCCGCCGCGCAGGTGGACGCACCTCTCCTCCTCGGGGCCGATCTCGTTGAGGAAATTCGTGCAGCTGAGCAGGAGGTCGTTGCTCTTGCCGTCACCGCCGTCGTCCTCCTCGGCGGGGGGGAACGTGGCGTTGGGCTCCCTGTTGAGGAGCGGGCTGCTCGGCTGAGAGGCCGCCGAGGCTCCCGTCGTCATGTTCTGACTCGCCGCCAGACCGCACGACGTGTCCGTGTCCTCGTCCGCCCTGAACAGGATGCTCTGCACGTCGTAGTGGGCAAAGCATCGTCTGGAGGCGCCGGGCGAGACTCCGGCCCCGTCGTCCCAGGCCGACCCCTGGGCCTCCACAGCGCCCGGCCTGTGCGAGCTCTCCGTCGACTTGGAGCCGCAGTCGTGGATTTTTTTCTTGAGCGAAATCTGCTTTGTCCGAAAGGCCGCGTTGTGGCTCGGGTCCGAATTGTACTTGCTCAGGCGAGTCTTCGCCGATTTATCGCTGGCCCGCGGCTCCTTGCCCGGAGGCCACGCGGAGACGCTGGAGCGCGCTTTGGGACTCTGCGGCTCGGGGAAGACGGTCGCCGGGCGCTGAGCGCCGTCGGCCGCGTCGCGAGGGCACGGAGCCTGGGCAAGGCTCCCCTTGATCGATCGCCCGAGATGGAGACCCTTCTTGGCAGGAGAGGAGCTCTTGAGCGGAGCGTGTTCATTCATCTTGGGAGTCTTACGAGGCGATGCACAGTCATAATCAACGATAAAACAGCAGGCGTTATAACGGACAGAGATAGTGTCCCAAACAAGGTGTTTCAGACACGTAAACTATAATATTGCATGGTACATTTTCACGCTTGCCCTCGACTTTTATGTTGCGGTTTCGGAAGCCGTAATTCACGAACAAAAGCAGTGGATGACCTTGCCCGAAACTAAAATTCCGTTTGCAATCGAGATTGTGCAGGCCTGTGGCCACGTCTCAGCGATGCGACGTTGCGCTGCTGCCGCTGCTGGATGGTGTTGCGGGAGATTGAGGGGCTTGTGACGCCAGTCCTCGGCCCTGCTGCCAGTAGGTCCTGGTGCTGGTGCTGCTGGTGCTGGTGCTTCTGCTGCTGATGCTGCTGGTTCTGCTGCTGATGCTGCTGATGCTGGTTCTGCTAGTGCTGCTGCTGGTGCTGCTGCTGGTGCTGCTGATGCTGCTGCTAGTGCTGCTGCTGCTGCTGCTGGTGCTGCTGCTGATGCTGCTGGTTCTGCTAGTGCTGCTGCTGGTGCTGCTGCTAGTGCTGCTGCTGCTGGTGCTGCTGCTGGTGCTGCTGGTGGTGCTGCTGCTGCTGATGCTGCTGGTTCTGCTAGTGCTGCTGCTGCTGGTGCTGCGGCTGCTGGTGCTGCTGCTGGTGCTGCTGCTGGTGCTGTTGCTGCTGGTGCTGCTGCTGGTTCTGCTAGTGCTGCTGCTGCTGGTGCTGCTGCTGCTGGTGGTGCTGCTGCTGCTGCGGGCTGGCACGCCCTGCCGCCCGCCGTGACGACCTCTCACTCCGGGTGTCGATTCTCGCTGCGACGTCACCTCTCCTTGCGCGCCTCTACAAGGGACGAAATCGCACGGTCAGCGTTAAAGTTAACGGCAGAGTGGATCCGTGGATTAGCTTCTGTTATATTTCGATTCAAAGCTTTCGTGACTGCAAGGATTCATCTTCTTTGGTTCTTTCGGTAAAGTCACGTAGAATGAGAATAAAATAATAAATTGATAAAATATATTATTGCGTTATTTTATTTTATCAATTTATTATTTTATTCTCATTCTACGTGACTTTACCGAAAGAACCAAAGAAGAAGCTTCTGTTATGTTCTATCAGGTCGGTGTGTCGAAAAACAATGCACGATTTTGATTGCTTTTCAAAGTTGCGGTATTTGGTGAAAAATACGACCGCTTTGGGACCTACGTGCCAGCTTGATTTGATTGGTTCTGAACGTATGTTGAACTTTTATTGCACCGTACATAGCCAACCGTGCTAAACGGAGGTGCGGGGGAAGGTGGTGGAGGGTTACAGTAAAAATGAATACATCATACTCTACGCGATGATCTATCGAACCAAAAACAAACTAATAATGAAACATGATGTTGAGCGTGAAAGCCCACATGTACAATGAAGTGATTATCAGTGTTTGAATGGATCGCAATATAGAAAATACTAAAGGACTACACCAGAATATATGACGCTCTAGAAAGTAAAGACGCACTTCTTGCCACAGGCAGCTATCTCGCCCACTTCAACATTTGTTCTTGCTGTGGTGTTCCACCTGGTGAGGATTGGTTGTGTTGCGATCGCAACGTCGTGATTTATTTAATTTAATATTATTTCATTTTCTACCTACGTGAATTTTACCGAAAGAACAAAAGAGTCTGTGAGTCTATGGGTCTCTATGTGAGTATGTTTCTGTCAGTCTCTCGGTCTCTGTGTGAGTCTGTCTCTGTGAGTCTCTGGGTCTCTATGTGAGTCTGTCTCTGTCAGTCTCTGGGTCTCTGTGTGAATCTGTTTCTGTGAGTCTCTGGGTCTCTATGTGAGTCTGTCTCTGTCAGTCTCTGGGTCTCTATGTGAATCTGTCTCTATCAGTCTCTGGGTCTCTGTGTGAGTCTGTCTCTGTGAGTCTCTGGGTCTCTGTGTCAGGCTGTCTCTGTCAGTCTCTGGGTCTCTGTGTGAGTCTGTCTCTGTGAGTCTCTGGGTCTCTATGTGAGTCTGTCTCTGTCAGTCTCTGGGTCTCTGTGTGAGTCTGTCTCTTTCAGTCTCTGGGTCTCTGTGTGAGTCAGTCTCTGTGAGTCTCTGGGTCTCTGTGTGAGTCTGTCTCTGTGAGTCTCTGGGTCTCTGTGTGAGTCTGTCTCTGTGAGTCTCTGGGTCTCAATGTGAGTCTGTCTCTGTGAGTCTCTGGGTCTCTATGTGAGTCTGCCTCTGTCAGTCTCTGGGTCTCTATGTGAGTCTGTCTCTGTCAGTCTCTGGGGCTCTGTGTGAGTCTGTCTCTGTCAGTCTCTGGGTCTCTGTGTGAGTCAGTCTCTGTGAGTCTCTGGGTCTCTGTGTGAGTCTGTCTCTGTGAGTCTCTGGGTCTCTGTGTGAGTCTGTCTCTGTGAGTCTCTGGGTCTCTATGTGAGTCTGTCTCTGTGAGTCTCTGGGGCTCTATGTGAGTCTGCCTCTGTCAGTCTCTGGGTCTCTATGTGAGTCTGTCTCTGTCAGTCTCTGCGTCTCTATGTGAGTCTGTCTCTGTGAGTCTCCGGGTTTCTATGTGAGTCTTTCATTGTGAGTCTCTGGGTTCTCTATGTGAGTCTGTCTCTGTCGGTCTATGGGTCTCTATGTGAGTCTGTGTCTGTCAGTCTCTGGGTCTCTGTGTGAGCCTGTCTTTGTGAGTCTCTGGGTCTCTATGTGAGTCTGTCTCTGTCAGTCTCTGGGTCTCTATGTGAGTCTGTCTCTGTGAGTCTCTGGGTTTCTATGTGAGTCTGTCTCTGTGAATCTATGGGTCTCTATGTGAGTCCGTCTCTGTCAGTCTCTGGGTCTCTGTGTGAGTCTGTCTCTGTCAGTCTCTGGGTCTCTGTGTGAGTCAGTCTCTGTGAGTCTCTGGGTCTCTGTGTGAGTCTGTCTCTGTGAGTCTCTGGGTCTCTGTGTGAGTCTGTCTCTGTGAGTCTCTGGGTCTCTATGTGAGTCTGTCTCTGTGAGTCTCTGGGTCTCTATGTGAGTCTGCCTCTGTCAGTCTCTGGGTCTCTATGTGAGTCTGTCTCTGTCAGTCTCTGCGTCTCTATGTGAGTCTGTCTCTGTGAGTATCCGGGTTTCTATGTGAGTCTTTCATTGTGAGTCTCTGGGTCTCTATGTGAGTCTGTCTCTGTCGGTCTATGGGTCTCTATGTGAGTCTGTGTCTGTCAGTCTCTGGGTCTCTGTGTGAGCCTGTCTTTGTGAGTCTCTGGGTCTCTATGTGAGTCTGTCTCTGTCAGTCTCTGGGTCTCTATGTGAGTCTGTCTCTGTGAGTCTCTGGGTTTCTATGTGAGTCTGTCTCTGTGAATCTATGGGTCTCTATGTGAGTCTGTCTCTGTCAGTCTATGGGTCTCTGTGTGAGTCTGTCATTGTGAGTCTCTGGATCTCTATATGAGTCTGTCTCTGTCGGTCTATGGGTCTCTATGTGAGTCTGTGTCTGTCAGTCTCTGTGTGAGTCTGTCTTTGTGAGTCTCTGGGTCTCTATGTGAGTCTGTCTCTGTCAGTCTCTGGGTCTCTGTGTGAGTCTGTCTCTGTGAGTCTCTGAGTCTCTGTGAGTCTGTCTCTGTGAGTCTATGGGTCTCTATGTGAGTCTGTCTCTGTCAGTCTCTGGGTCTCTGTGTGAGTCTGTCTCTGTCAGTCTCTGGGTCTCTGTGTGAGTCTGTCTCTGTGAGTCTCTGAGTCTCTATGTGAGTCTGTCTCTGTGAGTCTATGGGTTTCTATGTGAGTCTGTCTCTGTCAGTCTCTGGGTCTCTGTGTGAGTCTGTCTCGGTCAGTCTCTGGGTCTCTATGTGAGTCTGTCTCTGTGAGTCTCTGGGTCTCTATGTGAGTCTGTCTCTGTGAGTCTCTGGGTCTCTATGTGAGTCTGTCTCTGTCAGTCTCTGGGTCTCTGTGTAAGTCTGTCTCTGTCAGTCTCTGGGTCTCTGTGTGAGTCTGTCTCTGTGATTCTCTGGGTCTCTATGTGAGTCTGTCTCTGTAAGTCTCTGGGTCTCTGTGTGAGTCTGTCTCTGTCCATCTCTGGGTCTCTGTGTTAGTCTGTCTCTGTGAGTCTATGGGTCTCTATGTGAGTCTGTTTCTGTCAGTCTCTGGGTCTCTATGTGAGTCTGTCTCTGTCAGTCTCTGGGTCTTCATGCGAGTCTGTCTATGCCAGTCTCTGGGTCTCTATGTGAGTCTGTCTCTGTGAGTCTCTGGGTCTCTATGTGAGTCTGTCTCTGTGAGTCTCTGGGTCTCTATGTGAGTCTGTCTCTGTCAGTCTCTGGGTCTCTGTGTAAGTCTGTCTCTGTCAGTCTCTGGGTCTCTGTGTGAGTCTGTCTCTGTGATTCTCTGGGTCTCTATGTGAGTCTGTCTCTGTAAGTCTCTGGGTCTCTGTGTGAGTCTGTCTCTGTCCATCTCTGGGTCTCTGTGTTAGTCTGTCTCTGTGAGTCTATGGGTCTCTATGTGAGTCTGTTTCTGTCAGTCTCTGGGTCTCTATGTGAGTCTGTCTCTGTCAGTCTCTGGGTCTTTATGCGAGTCTGTCTATGCCAGTCTCTGGGTCTCTATGTGAGTCTGTCTCTGTCAGTCTATGGGTCTCTATGTGAGTCTGTCTCTGTCAGTCTCTGGGTCTCTGTGTGATTCTGTCTCTGTCAGTCTATGGGTCTCTATGTGAGTCTGTTTCTGTCAGTCTATGGGTCTCTATGTGAGTCTGTTTCTGTCACTTTCTGGGTCTCTGTGTGAGTCTGTCTCTGTGAGTCTCTGGGTCTCCATGTGAGTCTGTTTCTGTCAGTTTCTGGATCTCTGTGTGAGTCTGTCTCTGTCAGTTTCTGGGTCTTTGTGTGAGTCTGTCTCTGTCAACCTCTGGGTCTCTATGTGAGTCTGTCTCTGTCAGTCTCTGCGTCTCTATGTGAGTCTGTCTCTGTCAGTCTCTGGGTCTCTGTGTGAGTCTGTCTCTATCAGTTTATGGGTCTCTGTGTGAGTCTGTCTTTGTGAGTCTCTGGGTCTCTGTGTGAGTCTGTCTCTGTCAGTCTCTGGGTCTCTATGTGAGTCTGTCTCTGTGAGTCTCTGGGTCTCTATGTGAGTCTGTCACTGTGAGTCTCTGGGTCTCTGTGTGAGTCTGTCTCTGTCAGTCTCTGGGTTTCTGTGTGTCTGTCTCTGTGAGTCTCTGGGTCTCTGTGTGAGTCTGTCTCTGTGAGTCTCTGGGTCTCTATGTGAGTCTGTCTCTGTGAGTCTCTGGGTCTCTGTGTGAGTCTGTCTCTGTGAGTCTCTGGGTCTCTATGTGAGTCTGTCTCTGTCCGTCTCCGGGTCTCTGTGTGTGTGTGTCTGTATTTCTGAATTTCTGGGTGTCTATGTGACTCTGTCTCTGTCTGTCTCTGGGTCTCTGTGTGAGTCTGTCTCTGTCAGTCTCTGGGTCTCTATGCGAGTCTGTCTCTGTCAGTCTCTGGGTCTCT